CTGGAAATCACCGTGCCATCAAAACAAACACCATGGCCAGACGCTCCTCTGGAATTCCCATCCGACAACAACGAAAAGACAGCGAACAACATGGAAGAGCCACGCCCAGTTGTGAAGCACACTAAGACGCGATCATCAAGATCTAAGCACAGAAGTAAGAGGAAGCATGAACCCAAAACTGTGGTGGACACAAAGCAGCAGTCTGAACAAAACTAAATATAGAGAAAACAACCTTCCTGGGCAAGAAACAGGTGAGATAACCGTATACTTACTGCTTTGAACCTTCAAATTTCCAGCCTCTCTATACGCGATACATGATGAAGCAGGGTGGACTGGGGAAGGAGGGGAACACCCTCGTGATGATCATACTGGAAGAGAAGGTAAAATCCACCTTTTACAGCTTGGCAAGATTGAAATGTAACTTGGCCACTCATTTTTACCTTACTTTTTTTTTTACCGTTGTATTCCATATTTGTTTTTCTTTTTCGAGCAAAGGGGGTGGTCATTTAGTACGTGTTGATCAATCTTTGTAGCCCATCCAATCCAAGTAGCGATGTTGTTGTAAGAGAAGGATTGGGATGGGAGAGACGGAAAAGAGGGGGGAAAGCGAGTTGTATTTGTATGGTATAATGGAGGGAGGTGAGGTTAGTCCCAAATTTTATACATGAAATGAAATTCATCAACATGCCTCTTTTCTTTTTTCATTTTTTTTTCAAGGGCCAGGTTGTTATATACAATACTAGATGCAGCTGCCGCGCTTAGCAGCGGCCTAGATAAATTTTCAATTCGGAAGGCTCAATAGACATGCAACTAATAATAAACCAGAATTGAAATATGAAAGGATTTGAATGGCTTGAAACATTTGTGCCTTTAAAGTTGGTTTGCACCACACCCAATATTCTTTTGAATGAAGCAAATTCCCCAACTCTAGTGATCATAATCACCATATAATTTGTGGAGACCCACTTGAGCAAAGATTCATGTATCACTTATTTTGTCAGACACAATTATATCTCTTTTTTTTTTTTTTTACAAGAGGACACTGTATTTCTATTACTTGTTGCAAAAGTCAAGTGTTACAAAAGTGGTGATACAACATCAAGAATCTGAACCCATTCAGTGGGTAAAGTATTTTTGGCACAAGATCTAGCTACCCAGTTTGCTTTCGCGTTGCTCTTACGACCAATGTGCGTGATCTTAATCAAAGGGTTGGACTCCAACGTTTGTATGATAATGTCGATCCAGGCTGCCGCTCGCCATGGCCACGATTTCGGATCATCATGAATTGCCTTAACAAGTGGCAGGCAGTCAGAGCGGACAAGGCAGGGGGAAAGGAGATCAGCAGCCAAACGTGAGCCTTCCAACAGGGCCTTGGCTTCAGCTTCAAGTGGGGAAAAACAGTGCAAGATCTCAGCCTTACCGTCACAAACTTGACCATGGCTGTTCGAAGCTACGACGCCATAAGCCGCCTCCTGGGAGTCGCTGAAAAACGACCCATCGCAGTGTATCTCAAAGTCATGAGTACTTGGCGGTGATGAAGAATGATTCGGTGGTGGGATAAGCTGAGCTGGAGATGTGGCAGCGAGGGGTTTCTTGGGGCAGGAGGTCCATTGGTGATGTGCCAAGGACGCCTTTGAGATCGTAGATGGAGGCCAAGGAGTGGTGTTCTTGAAGACCCGTTCATTCCTTGACTTCCAGATCTGCCAAAGGAGAAAGACAATCTTTTGGATAGAACTGCTCGAGTACCTGGCGACCAAAGAATTCAACCATTCCAGGAAAGGTGTGCTGGGAGCAGGGGTAGGAAGAGAGGGCCATTCCTGTTTCCATCCTTCTGCTGCATGTGGGCAGGTGAAGAGGCAGTGGCGAATCGATTCAGAGGGGTGTTCACATAAAGGACATGTCATGGTTGGAGAGCACTTCCTTGCATGAAGGTTCTCTTTCGAGGCTAGCGCTCCTTTGGAAATCCTCCAAACAAAGAACTTGAGCTTCGGGGGGATGGATAGGTTCCACAACCATTTCCATCTATCCTTACTAGCTTCCGAAACAATATCCACATGCCCTTGTGACGCTCTGAGTCGGTGGTGGAAGTGAAGGAAAGCGGACTTCACCGTGAAGGCACCTTGTTCAGTGAACCTCCAGGCCCAGAAATCTTCCAGGGAGTCCGGGCCAACTGGAGTGGCAGCCACTTGTCTCAAATCATGTGGGCTAAGAAAGTCTTCAAGGAGATCAAACTTCCACTCTCCGGTGATACCATCAATCCAGCCATCCGTAGTAGAAAGGTCAGGCCAATCAAAGTCAAGGAGGGTCCCTGCGCGATCTCTTCTCCATGGGTCCTGAAACAGTTTGGTTGATTTATCATTACCAATAACCTTGATGATACCAAGTTCCATCCATTCTTTGCCTCGCATAAGCTAGACCATATCCAAGATGCCTTTCCTCCCTTCTTGGCTCTTAGAAAATCAGAATTAGGGAAGTAGATGCTTTTGAGAACCTTGACCCACAGAGCATCTTTGTTGGTGAGGACTCTCCAAGCCTGCTTGGCAAGCAGGGCCAAGTTGAAAATATGAAAGGGACGGAAACCAAGACCCCCCTCATTTTTTGGAGCATAAAGGACATGACCTGCCCTCCAATGGATCGTTCGCTTGATCATCGATCCACCCCAGAAGAAACTTTTCAGCATGGTGTCCATCTTCTTCGTTGTTGACTTTGGCATGAGGAATAAGCCCATAATGTAAGAGGGGACAACTTGGAATACAACTTTAAGGAGGACTTCTTTCCCCTGGTGACAGGAGGAGGCTTTTCCATGCTTCACCTCTTTTTTCCATCCGTTGTATGAGAAAGTTGAAAGTCTCCTTCTTTGATCTTCCCCATTCAGTGGGAACTCCAAGATAGTTGGAGTGGCAATTTGTTGAAGCAAAACCGGAATCATGTATGATCCTGTCCTGTTCAATACTGGGGACGTTGAAGCTGAAGAACATTGAGGATTTCTCCTTGTTAACCTATTGGCCAGTAACAGCCCCATACTCATTGATAATTTCCAAAATCTTCCCAGCTTCTTCAGATGAGGCTTCCCCAAAGACGACTGTGTCATCTGTGAACAAGCAGTGGGGCAGAGTAGGGCCAGACACAATTATATCTCTTGACGGAGGTATTTCACTCATATTTTGTTCAATAACCCCTCACAATATCACTCGATATATCTCTTTTAAAATTGAACATAACTGAGAGTCAGGAAGAAAGGACTAGAAAAACCCCTCAGAGACACTCGAGAATAATACCATTCTGATAGGACACATTCATACTAGTGAGTGAGTTCTGAATCGGCCAGGAAAAGAAGGAGCTATTTGGCTTGATTAGAGGAGTGTGTGAAAGGCTTGCAGATCTCCCTCCTTTTTTAAGGGAAGATAGAATTTTTCTCTTAGTACCTCAATACCCAATACAAAAGAGGCGAGACCAAAACCCTTATCTTAGATTATTTTCAGAAATTTCTCGATCTCGTGCATTAATCATATAGATCGCTACTATAAAGTAGAATGTCGTTGAGATGTAAAACCAAGAAACAAAATTTACTCCCACTGAACTTAATATATACGCCATCATCTCCAACATTAGCCTATGAATTCGAGTGAGCTAATAACAAGATGATTTGTGATATTAATAAGGAGAAGGCTATATGAGATCATAGATGGGTTCATTCAATTTAGTACCATAAAATTGTTTCGTCAATGTGACAATAAAGACACACAATCTATATCCATCTAATATGGCTCCATACCATAATTAGCCACCATTCTCATTATATTCCTAAAAAGAGTATTGCAAATATTTTGGAAAGAAAGTCTCTTTGTAGTAAATGCTTTCCTTATGGCTTATGAATAAAGCAAATAGTGGCCAACGTTCCTTATTTTTCTAACACCACGGTCAACGGGCCATAGTAGTCTATTTATGTAAAATTGGGGCCAATTTAAGGTATTAACCCTATTTGTGTAAAGTTCGGGCTAAGAAAAATACTTTAACGTAAACTAAGGTCAACCTACCTCAATCACTAATTTTACTTATGCTTAATTTTCTTCATTTTTCAACCTCCTTGTCAACTTTATGTGGTCCACTATGGGGATCCACCCTGATAAATAACTTGAATTTAATAAAAAAATTAATTTCTTTTGTTAGATAGTTTGAATTTTCAGTTAGAAATTTTTGGTGAATATATGATATGGATTTGAATATGTTTATGGTTAGTGATAATTTTACTACTAAATTAGTGTATTATATATTTTTTATTTTATTTTAGGGTTAACACTAATTATTAGCCAAATTTTTTCCGCAATCTTATTTATTAGCCAAACCTATTGAATTACTAATAATTAGCCAACTCTTTTGTAATATACCAAAATATCAACCATTTTTCTGTTATCGTTAATAATTTTGTAACTCTTTTCTCAATTAAAATGCTAAATTTTTGAAATGTTGACCTTCATGTTTCTCTTTCAAATCAGTATCATGTTGCCCAACCAATATTACTACAAAAACTGCTAACTCGAAGTTAACATTTGGCTAATTATTAATAATTCAATAGGTTTGACTAATAAAAAAGAATGCGAGAAATGTTTGACTAATAATTAGTGTTTATCCTTTGTTTTATATCGCACGAACATATCTATCAACTACCGACCCATCCACGATTCTATAACAAATAATAATTGAACCATCATCTTAGAGTATCCATATTGATATTGCATTCTCAATTGCAAAATGACATGGCATAGATGTTTTACTTAATTTTTTATAATTTAAATATAACATTTATGGAGGTGAATGAAATGAATGTGATGTGTAGTGCACAAAATTTGAGTTGACAATAAAAAAACACAAATAAATTATTTTGCAATTGCATTGATGGATATGTTATTAGTTATTAGTTATTACCACCTTAATTTTTTACCATCTCAATTTCTTTTTGTAATATTCTCGGCTGAATTCGTAGTAGACCCGATCTGCTCCAAAGCCCAATCATAGCACCCCTCGGGGTTCTCTCTCCATCTTTTCCCTCTCTTTCTTCCTTCCTTCCTCGTTCCTCCCTGGTTGCCCAAATTCTAGGGTTCAGGCGCATCAGTTTCGAAGAGGTTTCTCCGCACAAATCAACCGGCGAGGCTTCGTTACTCGCCAACAGAATCCGGCTATATTTTACACTCCATCCATTTACCCTAACCGTTCTATCCAGAACTCCAGTCTGATCTTCCTGCGTCCGGCGTCGAATCCATCATCGTCACTGGCCGCCAATCACCACCAGTCTCCGCTATATCCACCGAGACCCTACCAGCTCCGACCGCCAATTATCCACTCCGACCAGTATCAGAGCACGGTCATTGCTGTAGAATAAAAGGGAAGAGGATTAGGACTATCTTGAGATGGTTTGTTGACTCTGCTCGCTTTCTCATCACCTTACCTCTCAACCTTAGGTTAGTATATCTAGACGTTCCGGGCTTATAGATTAGGGTTTAAAGTTGGCTGTTAACCGGAGAGAGAAGAGAAGAGAAGAGCGGAGCAATGAATCCCTTGACGCTTGTGAAACGTATCCAGAGCATCAACTCTAAGGAAGCCGCTTTAGGGATTTCAGAGGAAGCTTCGTGGCACGCAAAGTACAGAGATTCAGCTTACGTCTTCGTCGGTGGGATTCCTTTTGATCTCACCGAAGGCGATCTCCTTGCTGTGTTTGCTCAGTAAGTGATTCTACTATTGAAATGTTCAGCCTATTATTTTCCTTCAAAATGTTCGATTACACCTTGAGTTGGTATTGTTTGTTCAGTTAATTGAAGTGTAATATTATTAATTTGGGCTGGGACCTCGACTCTGTGATTGAATATTCTTTCTCCTGATTAATGATTCTCCAGGTATGGAGAGGTCGTGGATGTTAACCTAGTTAGAGACAAGGGTACTGGCAAATCAAAAGGTTTTGCGTTTATTGCCTATGAGGATCAAAGAAGTACTAATCTTGCCGTAGGTTGGTCTTTCTTTGTCTTCCTTTTCTGTTCATTGTCTTTTTCCTCATTTGTTATGGTGAGTTGTGAGAATTGTATGCTCAATTATGGGTTCTTGTTTTCTGCAGACAATCTCAATGGGGCACAGGTCCTTGGTCGCGTGATAAGGGTTGATCATGTTACTAGCTACAAGAAGAGAGAAGAGGAAGACGAGGAGACAGCACAGAAAAATAGGGAGGCTCGAGGTGTTTGCCGTGCGTTTCAGAAAGGGGAATGTACACGTGGAGCTGGTTGCAAATTTTCACATGATGAACAGGTTAGATCATTATGTTTGGAGCTTAGAATAATACATCTGAGCACCCCAACACATTTGCTCGTTTATTACATTTTTTTCTTTAGTAATGATTTGATCCTGCCTTTTTACATTCATTTTTTAGGATGTCCTTTCGTGCTCTGGCCTGCTGTCTTCATATAATCATATTCACACTTCCTTTGTTATATTCTAGAGAGCTGCAAACACAGGTTGGGGTGCTCAAGATAGAAGTCCAAGGTGGGGACAGGATAAGTTTGATGGTCCACAGAAGGGTGAAGAGGAAGATGAGGAGACAGAGCGAAAAAAGAGGGCGGCTCGAGGTGTTTGTTATGCCTTTCAGAAAGGGGAATGTACTCGTGGAGCTCGTTGCAAATTTTCACATGATGATCAGGTTAGATCATAATTGTTTAGAATATATATTGATACATCTTCAAGTTAACATGGTTGCCGCTTTCCTTAGATACTCTTCATTTTGACTTGAGAAAGTAGGTCAAATGGATAGAAAATTTTCCTGGTTTTTGAACTACTATAGTGTGTTTTCATTGTTAATAAATCTACTGCCACCAGTTTCATGCTAATGGCAGGATCTAAAACATGTTGAATTACCTATTTCACACTTCCTCTTAGTATTAGCTGTCAGTTGAATGACTATGATTGGATGGAGACTATGTTTAAATTTGCTTGTTTATTACTTTTATTTTCCGAGTAATGATTCGACCCTGCATTTTCACATTCATTTTTAGGATGTGTTTTGTGCTTGGTCTCTTTATCTTCATACTCATACTTGTTTGTTATGTTCTAGAGAGCTGCCAACATGGATCGGGGTGCTGAAGATAAAAGTCCAAAAAGGGGCTATGATAAATTTGATGGTCCAAAGAAGCGTGAAAAAGTTGTCGATGAGAGATCTAGTGGAAGAAACTCTAGACTGAGTGACCTGAGAGAAGAGGGAAGGAGATCAAGGAATTATGATGATTATGGAAGTGGGCCGCAGTCCGGAGAAGACCAGAGGACCGTAAGGCCAAGGGATAGTCTGTATGAGAAAAGGTCAAGAGAGGATGTTCATAGGAGAGATGAAAAGAGATTGAAAAGGGATGAGGATGATGAGAAGAGCACAAGAAGGCATGAAAGCGATGACTTCAAGGCCAAATCAAGGAGCATGAAGACACACGAAGGCGGTTATGGAGGGGAAGAGAAGAGTTTCAGGAGACAGAACAGTGATGAACTTGGATCGAGGTCAATGGAAGATGACAACAGGAGGCACGAGAAAACTTCGAGAGGGAATGAGTCCAAGTACTATGCTAGGGATGATAGAGACAAAAAGAGAGACGAGAAACGGTCTGCTCGTGGAATGGATTCTTCGTCTGATCGTGATAAAAGAGACGATCACAGGAATAGATAGAATCTACTGGGGCTTTCCGATACAGAGTTTGCAGCTTGAGTTCTGACGACATGGTTTGAAGGTATTGGTCTCTATCTCAGTTCAGATTTGTTCTACCTTCTCCTAGATTCGTGTGATCCAATCTATGAGTCGCAGCTTAGAGAAGCAGGATGCATTCATGACACACTTAACAGCATTTACTTCGTAGGGCCAATGTAGCTCATGAACCGCTTGGTCATTTTGACTACATTTCCATCTTAATGTCGGTGTTCCATGTTGACAGCATGTATTTCTTAGTGCCAATGCAGCCTTTGTTATGCCGTTCAACATTCATATGTCAGGTTCTCCTTTTCTGAAGGGAAAATCATATATGACGGCAATTCAAGTCGAGACTGGGCAATTTTTGTTTTCTTTCACAGGCTCATAGCACTTGTGGGTTAATAGCTTCTCCAGGTTGCTTCAATTACTCTTTGCTAAATCCAATTTTCCGACTCCAGCATAAGAATGCATCGTTGCTAATTTGATGTTTCATCTTCAAACAGATATATGATATATCAGCGAAGTAAAAAGTTTGAACTACAGGGTCGTTTGGAAGTTGTGATTGTTTGTTGAATACATGTATTGTGCGCAATACAATGTTTGGAAGTGCCAAAGTGTAAAACAATGTATGCATTGTTTTAGGTAGGTCTCACCAACAATCACAAAAAATGATGTATAGTACACTCTCAACTAGGGCTGATAATCTGTTGGCGGTTAATTGGTTGGACCGAAAACCGAACCGAAAATCGCGGTTATCAATCTAATCGAAAACCGATATATTTGCCTCGGTGTCGGCGTCGGTGGGCTGATTTTGTGCTTTAAGCTAACCGTCGGTTGCCGGTTTCTAACCGAGATCAAACTTGGTGCACTGCTGCAACCGACAGACCTCATCTCCCTCTCCTCACCCCGCATCGGCAACACTCTCTCCCTCTCCATCTCCCGCCTCCACTAGGCCACCACCACCGCCCTCCACATCTCCAATTCCCCGCCCGACTTCGTCGAACCTTCTCTCCGAACACTCCCTCCTCTGTTGTCGATTCCCACTCCTCCTTCCATTTTGAGTTTCGAATCTTTGCCCAGCAAATCCCAATTGACAGAGCGGAGTTGGGGGTTTGAGTTGGGGTGACGCTGGAAGAGTGGGAGAGCTGTCGGCGGCGCCCGGCGGGTGACAGACGCGACGACGCGAGGGGAGATCTAGCAGCGGCGCCTGGCGAAATAGGTTAAGCCGTTTAGGAGTCTTCTCTTCTTTTGCCTAGACAAATCGAAATCTAATGGGAGAGGAGGACCGGAAGAACCCTAAATCCCGAAAAATACACCTGCTACCACACCATCTCGGCATCTCCGATTTCCTCCAGAGTTCGAACCCTCCCCGCCGGCGCCGCAGCCGTCGTCATCGCCCCTGCCGTCGTCATCGCCATACCTCCGACGGGTCTCTCTTCTTCCTCTGCCGATGGTTCAAAATTGGGATTTTTCAGTCACATGCATAGCGATGGTGGTGGTCGGAGGTGGTGTGCGTCGGTCTCTGAATAACCGTCGTTTGAAACCGAAACCGACAGTTGCGGTTATCGGCTAACCGATGGTGCCGTCGGTCGCGGTTGCGGTTGCCGGTATTGCCTCTTTCTCGGTGTCGGCTAACCGACTTTGCGGTTCGGTTAAAACCGAAATCGTACCGCTAACAGGCCTACTCTCAACTAAAAGTTGTTGAGATTCTACTTTATGCATTGTATAATACACTCTCAACTAAAAGTTGAGATTGTTGCTTTTAGATTTGTGTCCACTTTTTCTTTTCATATATATTCATAATAGTTTTTGTCTTATACTAAATGTTGAGGGTAAATATGACATTTTCCCATAAATGTAACTTTGTGTAAATCAATGCATAAAGTAGAATCTCAACAACCAAACAATGTATTGTTAAAATGTATTCATTGTATCAATACATGCATTTATTATATTATGGTGATTCATTATAATGCAACGATTTAACATTCGCAACTTCCAAACAAACCCTACATTTACGTTTCTGTCTTAAAATAAAAGAAAACGAACATGGTTTCTTCAATGAAGAAAACAGAGGATAATTTCTTGCAATTTGTACACTGAAGAAAAGAACATGAATAAAAGGCTAAACTTACTGATTTTCGAAAAGAGGGGAGAGCAAACAAATACAAGAATGTGTATTATGATTAGGGACGACAATGGGTATGGGAATGATATTACCATACCCTACCTGCCGGGTAGCAATGGGTATTCGGGTATCCACATGTACAAATCCTAAAATATGAACTTATGCACACTGTCGTAATTTAAAAATTCTCAATACTTATAATTGTTCTAGCTTCAACAATCACACAAATAAAAACAACAAACACATGACATAATAACTGTTCTTGCTTCTACAATCCACACAAACAAAAACACAATACATCATATTTGTTCTAGATTCAACAATCCACACATAAACAAAAAACAGCAAAGACAATAAGTTTTGGTTCTTCGACATACATATTTTATGCAAAGCAAAAGCATTAAGTCCTTGGGAATATTGCATCTTGTCTCTTCTCCATATGCCGAACATTAGTTCCCTTCTACGACCATATAAAAAGACAATCAACATATAAAAAAGAGGAAACACAACTTAAATAAACATTTAAATTGGAGTATAGAGATTACCGGTAACACACGATGCATCTTCTACATCTTAATCATAAATAATGGTAGTTAAACTCAATCTCTCAAGTGAACCCAGATCATCTACAAGAAAGAAGACACTCAGCTAACAGTTGCATTAAACAACTAGATATGTGCACACATCAATGCTTCAACTATCTCCGGGAGAAGTCTGCTACGACAAGGGCTAACTGGCCTTCCACCTGAGCTAAAAGCATACTATGTAGTGACCGGAATAGCAAGTATATCTTAGCAATCAATGCCAAAGTAGGATACTTCAAAACATTTTCCTTCCACCGCGACAATATATCAAACCTTGTTGTTTTAGGAAAAAGCCTTTCTCTAAGATAACCATCCAACTCGGTTTCAACTTCTTGTTGACTAGTTTGCAATGAAGCCACATACCTATCGTAGGCAGACATTTTTCCCCCACTTTGACTACTCAAGTTTACTCCTTGGGTCACACTCACATTATGACCCACATTCACATTTAAACAATTCTTATATTCCTTCTCTAAATCCATAATCAATTTTCGAACAATCTCAATTATATCCATTGCTTCCTCACCATAGATTTTAGGAAAGTAGCATTCCAACAAAGTAAACTTGTACCTTGGATCAAAGACAATAGCTATAGCTAAAACATCATGGATAGAATCCCAATACTTCTCAAACTTTGTCCTCATACTTGTTGCCATATCTCTAATGAAGAGATCATCATCCAACAACCAATTTGAAATTCCCACTTTAATGTCACATACTTTTTTCAAAGAACAAGTTAGAAGTTGGATATTTTGACCATGAAAATAGCTCAGTCACTTCATTAAAAACAACCAATTTCTCACGAACTTTCTTTGCAAACCTCCAATCTGACTCCGAATGCAAAATCTTATAGTGTGGCTCTCTTAGTTTCATCCGTGGAAAAACAACTTGGTAACTCAATGCAATAGTAAGCATAAGATATGTAGAGTTCCATCGAGTTGGACAATCTAAGCTTAATGCTCTTCCATAACAATTCCCTGAGTTCTTAACAACAAGCTCAAATTTTCCATTCCTTTTTCGGGTTGTTGTCCAATATTGTACACTTTCACGAATGCGCTTTATGCTTTTCTTTACAACCTCCAAACCATCCTTGACAATTAAGTTGAGAACATGAGTACAACAACGTATATGGAGCTTAGAACCATACCACATCAAATGCTCACTGCTTAACTTGTACTTCAAGACATCCATCAAGGCATCATTAGTAGAACAATTATCCAAGGTAATCGTAGATACCTTTGTGTCAATATCTCAAGCACGTAAAGTGTCAAGAAGTGCCTGAGCAAGCACCTCACTTGTGTGTGTGCAAGGAACATAAACAAATCTACAATACATAAAAAAACAATAAGAAAAGTATTAGTCACATATGTTTTACTCCGAAACATGCAGAATTTAGTGAAGAGAAGAATAAACCGTAGAATATAGCTTCGAATGTTCCATCCATCATCGATAAAGTGAGTTGTCACCACCATAAATCCCTTCTTCTAATTACTTGATGTCCACATGTCACTAGTAATTGCTATTCGACTCTCAGTGTCATCTATGAGTCTCTTCAACTCTTTATTTTCATGAAGATATATCTTCAAGATGTCACTCGTGATAGTATTTCTCGATTAAAGAGGGGTTGTAGTACATATAAAAATTGCCGAAAACCAACATGCTCGACGATACAAAGAGGATATTCATGCAAAATAATCATAGATGCCAAAGCCTTCCTCCATTCATCCTGACTATCAAATCTATTAGAGCGAGTTTTACTAGAATCTCCATTTAAATTCTTAGTCAGGAGCATATATCTTATGTCCTTAATATTTTTTGGGACACTCGCGGATATGTTCTTTCAAATGACTTGTCCCATTATTTGAAGCAACATTGAGAGACTTTGAACGTAGATTACACACATCTTTTATATTACCATCCACCTTCAAGATTCATTTAAAATGTTTCCAAACACCACTCTTCAGTTTGCTCGTATCAAGTACCTCATGATTACTAGTAGCAAGAGGAGCATCAGTTGCAGGTGGTGGACTCTCCACTCCAACCGTAGCAGCAGGAGTACCGCTGGAATTAGGAGGAATCTCTGTGCAAGCATTAGTTGACAAATTGCTGTCAACACTTACGACTATGAGAGGATTTCCACAAGGAGATTCATTTGACGAACTCATTGTTCCACCTACAAAACAGGACACAACATAATCAGGGGAAACACACTGCCACAGTGAGCACAAGTGGACATATAATACACTAAACACATTCCTTTGAGAGAATTGGAGATTCCATACTGTTTAGACTTCAGATCACTAATATGCACAAGACTTCTAACCACACGAAAGATCGCCAACCGTTCTTGGGTGAATTGGAAACCCACTAAATCCACAATGAGGGAAGATAGGAAATCGAAGTGTGCCATTGAAATGAATCAGAAAGCACTCATCTTTCAGCGCATTAGCAAAAATACAGAGAACCCTTAAAATTGTATGTTGTAGGTAAAGACTCTCTCGGAGGAAATTAAACAAACATGTGGAGTGGGAAGGAGAAAATGAAAAAATGCCAGAGACTTACAGATGATGTCACTGAGTTCAAATTGCGTGCCGCCCATGAGAGAGCTTGTCGGCGACTCGCAAACGAGAGGGGAACAGGGGAGAGCAGGTTGTGCGACTGACGGAGAACAGGGGATAACAAGTGACGTGTTATTCATCACAATCATTCCCAAAAATGTATGTTAAAACTTTTCATGTGAAAAGTTTATTAAAGCATACAAGAAAACCTCATCACATAACACCATCCTACGTCAAAGAGACGTGTTATTCATCACAATCATTTCCAAAAATCTCACAAACATTTATCTATGTATGTTAAAACTTTTCATGTGAAAAGTTTATAAAGCATACTAGAAAATGTCATAAAGCATTTCATAAGTTTATTAAAGCAGACAAGAAATCTCATAAACTTGGAACTATTTGTAAAATCTAGAAAGGTCTGGTATCAAAATGTAAGTCATAAAATTTTTAGGTAGTAAGATATCATTTTTCTTAAGTATTTATAGGAATTATCTGCAAAAAATTGATAATAGGTACTATTTGTAAAAAGTTCATAACTCGATGATAGGTCCCAAAAATCATATCCGCAAAATTTAGTAGCTTAAACCACTAATGATATCTTCAATTCTTGTTTGCTCATGATGCCATTTCGAATGAATGGAAGAGGTCACTTGATTTCCTTATTAGTGGACAACAGTACTAGACCGTAGTATATCTATGATGTGTACACGCATGCATATTTGTGAACCTAAATAATTAGTGGAATCTCAATCCATTAGTTTTGTCTTCATCCTCTCTACTCCAGCAGAGACAGAGATTACTTGGCACTCAACTCAAAACAAAACCTCTTCAGCATCCATCTTCTGCACTTACGGAATGACGAAGCTGGAAATCTAAATGAACGAACTGATTTGAACAGTGATAAATTGGAAAGAAAATTGAAACCTTACTATTATTTTATTTTCTAAATCTGTTACGAATTTTAGCATTTCCGTCAAACTTTTGCATGAATAACACTGCAATAGCCCCTTCATTTCTCTCCCAAGCCTCAACTTTGAAGGTTAGCAACTTTCTTCATTACCTAATTAACTCTTCCTTTTCTCTTTAGACACACATAGGATGGCAATGGGTCGGGTTGGAAACTGATAGTGCATATCTGTTATCCTACTCAAAATAGTTCGAGTTTTACCCATACCCATACCCACATAAGAAACGGGTAGAAAATTCAAACCATGCCCATACCCATTCGGGTTTCGGGTATCCACGGTTATCCATAGGTAATAGTTTTTCTTTATAACTCCAACCAATATGTTAATATTTACACGTATTCCCACGTTACGTAAGACGAAAAGTACGATAATAATTCACTAGAATGAAGAAAATTAATTAAAACAACACAATTTCATACAAATTTTATATTTATATGCTAAATATAAAATATGTTAGAGAAAAATATTGATTATTTCTTGACAAAATACATATGCATGTGTACAATCGGACGGGTTCGGGTTAGATAATGATAAAACCACGCCCACCCATTACCCACAATATTCAGGTTCAGGTTTTACCCATATCCACTAAAAATTCTTCGAGTTCGAGTTTTACCCTAGCCAATTAGATCGGATTCGGGCGGATATCCACGGCTACTGATATTTTTGCCAGACCCGCAACACGGACAAGTTGAAAAAGGTTATCTTTATAAAACGTCTCTGATAATCATGCACGTTCGTGATAATTGTACATAACGCTCTCGTACTATCGCCTTCTTGCTCTCCCCTGCTTTTTTCAAATCCATTTCTTACCCGACAGGCAGCAAGCAATCAATGGGTCCATTATTCCATATGGGGAAGGACGAATTGATGATTGATTGTCCCAGCCAGCTAACATTCATCAATGCGAAAAAAAACGAAGCAGCTTTTTCTCACACTTTTTTTTTATGAAGTAAAAAAATTAGAAGAAAGGAACACTCTGTCTCTCTGCGATCATCATCTTCCACACCCAACCACCAATAAAATAAAACCTACAACAATGGTAGCCGTCTTCAACAAAGATCTCCTCAGTTGGTATCTCATCACCCTCAAGCTCCGCGAAACCGTCGAATCCGCCGCCGCCGCCACCGCTGCCGCCGATTCCCATTCTCCCGCCGCTCCCCTACTCCTCGAATACCCACAACAACCGCCACCGCCACCAATCGATCAATCCAAACCGCCGTCGCCGGATTCCGATTGGGTTATATCGATTAAAGACAAACTCACCCAGGCTCGGATCGACGACGCATCCGCCTCATGGGAGCGATTCTGCATCTACAGAGTCCCCCACTACCTCCGCGAAGAAGACGACAAGGCCTACGCCCCACAATTGGTCTCTCTGGGTCCGTACCACCACGCCAAGAAGCGGCTCCGCAAAATGGAGCGCCACAAATGGCGGTGCCTCCACCGGGTCCTGACCCGAACCGATCACGACATCCGCCTCTACCTCGACTCCGTCAGGGAGCTCGAAGACCGGGCCCGCTCCAGCTACGAGGGCGGCTCGGCGGCGATTTCGATGGGCAGCAACGAATTCGTCGAAATGCTGGTCCTCGACGGCTGCTTCGTCATCGAGCTTCTGAGAGGCGCGGCGGAAGGGTTTCGGGACCTAGGGTATTCGCGAAACGACCCCGTTTTCGCGATGAGGGGATCGATGCACTCGATCCAGAGGGATATGATAATGCTGGAGAATCAGATCCCACTTTTCGTGCTGGACAGGCTGATGGGTCTTCAGCTGAACGAACCGGACCAGACCGGTATCGTGGCCAGGCTAGCGATCCGGTTCTTCGACCCGCTGATGCCCACGGATGAACCGTTGTCGAAATCGGATCGAACCCGGTTGGAGTCCTCCCTCAGGACTCTGTCCTCGTTCGACCCGTTGTCCGACCTGGGAGGCCTGCATTGTCTGGACGTGTTCAGGAGGAGCCTGCTCCGGTCCGGACCAAAACCGGTGCAGCGAGTCTGGATCAGGAAGCGATCCCACAGCGAGCGAGTCGTGGACAAGCGACGACAGCAGCTGATACATTGCGCGATCGAGCTGAAGGATGCCGGGATCAAGTTCAAGAGGAGGAGGACAGACAGGTTCTGGGACATCAGGTTCAAGAACGGAGTGCTGAAGATGCCCAGGATCTTGATCCACGACGGGACGAAATCGCTGTTCCTCAACCTGATTGCGTTCGAGCAGTGCCACTTGGACTGCAGCAACGACATTACGTCGTACGTGATCTTCATGGACAACCTGATCAACTCCCCCGAGGATGTCGCGTACCTGCACTACTGTGGGATTGTGGAGCACTGGCTTGGAAGCGATGCCGAGGTTGCCGATCTCTTCAACCGGTTGTGTCAGGAGGTGGTCTTCGATGTCAATAACAGCTACTTGGCACGAATGTCGGAGGAGGTCAATCTGTATTACAACCACAGGTGGAACGCCTGGCGAGCGAGCTTGAAGCACAAGTACTTCGGCAATCCATGGGCGATCATCTCTTTGTTTGCTGCGGTTGTTCTCTTGGTGCTTACTTTCACGCAGACCTTCTATGGTGTTTACGGCTATTATAGGCCTAGGACCTGAGAGGCTGGAACTCCGGGTCATTTTTTGTTTAAGTTTACATTTGTTGGTTCGATTCTTTGCTGATTGTTTGTCCTTAAGAGAGGTTCTGACTGATTTCATCTATAAAGAAGAAGAAGAAGAAGAAGAGAGGTTCTGATTGTATGATAGGCAGAAGTAGTTTGAGAAGGAATTGCATTGCTGCATTGCTTTGCTACGGTTAATGAGAGGAACAAAGCCAGCCAACTCCAAGCATTGTTTTTTATGTAAGGGAAATGCAAGGTTGGGACTCGTTTCCGCAAACCAAATGAAAAAAGTGTTTGCGGCTGCATCAGTTCAGTTCAATTCAACCAAGCTTTGAAACAACTAGCCAGAAAAGAGACATCCAGCAATCCGAAAATCATACAACTACTAGAGATTCTTTACACCTAAATTTCATCAACAAGAGTAAATGAATCACATTAGGATCAACAAGGAGGCTGAATCTGGCCTTAGAGAATTCACTTTATGCTTCTCTAAACTAGTATAGACATATAAAAATTCACAGTGGTGCGATATAAACGAGTACAAAATGCGTAAATGAAACAGAAAGTTAAAATAAAATCAGGGAACCAAAATTAGACCCCTCGATCAATGTCTAGGAACAACCCTGCTTTTCCACCCTCTCTAGATTCTCAACCTGCAGAAGGAAAGGATCCACATGAAACAACTCAGAGCTTGTTGTAATTTGTCAATCAAATTTCAGAAGGAAGTAGGTTTCCTGCTTCATCTAGGGTATGGTATAGAGAAGTTATACCCGAGGCATTCAATCCCTAGTCAGGTTATCACTTGATGGTGTCTTCTTCCCATCATATCGCTGTTAACGAGAGTAAATAACCAAACAATCAATTAATCTTTATTTACTCTGGGGCACAAATGCAGCTGATTATTCAGAATTTGACGAACAGATCTACTGAACAATGGATGGGACATACCTGCTTGCCGAAAGAGAAAGGAACATATTTGTATTTGACCATATGCATAATCTGTCTTCTCATTGTGAGGATAAACAGCATGATCCAGTAGAATAGAAGTATCGGCCAGAACACAGGCACATCAAACACCGCGAAGAATGTCATGTGAAACGCTATGCAGAAAGCCTTGGTAATAGAGTACCTTCATGAACACAAACGTAAGAAGAGAACAAATACATAAAAGTATCATACCAAAATTCCAGAAAACAAAGATTGATGCCTAGATTGAACTTCACCCTTATCTACCAATGTGAGCACCTGTAATGAATCTATCGGAAGATGAAATTGAAGAACAGAAAGCTACACAAGGAAAAGCAAAACGAGAAGATATTTGGGTAATGAATCTATCACAGATTAACTTGCACAATATAATCAGTTGATTAAGTCTACCAGCCACCCAACCCTCATCCCGTCTTTTCTCTTCCCTTTCCTCTGAGCAAGGGTTAAAGAGCCAATCCAACCAAATACCCCAAAGAAAACTACAAGTATATTGTTCAACCACAGAAAGCAATCTCTTTGAAGCATTTCCTCATTCACCTAGTATTCAGTTCTATAATCACGGCAAAATGGCCAACAAACAGCTGCTAAGGAAACAGAAACAGAAAAGAACCACAATTTCTGATAGGACCGAACATTTAGGCAATCAAAATGCACATGAATAGAAGAAACCAAGCGAAATCGACGAAGCAGATCAATCTTACAAAGATAAACGAAACAAATAGAATTAGGAACCCAAACAACCCTATTCCCAATCCTAAGTAAAACGGTAGATTTCATGAGCAATTTTACCAGAACTTGAACTCGGGGAGGCGACGGACGAAGGGACGGAACTCATCGGATCCGCGCGTGGGGAGCGAGGGGCCGTCGCTGACCTCCGGGTCAATCTGCGGCGAGAGGAATCCAATCAACAGGTTGAGCATGTAGATTCCGAGGCCGTAGGTGACGATGTAGAATCCCTGAACGAAGTAGACGCGCAATCCGTAGATTAGAGCGGCCAGAAAGCATCCGATCCACCGGTACCAGATGTGCGGCACCGTCTTGTCCAGCATGTGCTGGTACCGCCGCGTGACGGCGAACGTCCACTGCGAGACGACGGCTGCGGGGGACGACGACAGGGATGAGAGATCATCTCCAGATAGGGCTCCTCCATTGGGCTGCTGTGCGGTCTCCATGCGCCCAGCAACAACAACAAGCTCTCTCCGTCTCTCTCCCTCTCTCCGTCTCTCTATCGAGATCGATTTACAGATTGAATTACGCGTTCGCCAGCTTTTTCCTTATTCTCCGCCGTCTCCGCCGTGGATTTGCCGTCTATGGTTCTCCGGAACTACTTCGCGAGGTTGTTAGATGGGGAAATGGTCATTCTTGAAGAACTGTCGGTTTCCAGAGCTCCGCTCTTCCATTGATTCCGTGCCGTTGACGTGTCTCTCCTCCGGGTCTCCGGGCTGGACCGTTCGGCCCGTTTCAAATTCTCTCAGCCGATCATTAAGAAACCCAATAGGCCCAGTATCAAAGGGCGGCCCAATTAAATCCAACTTCGGCGTTATTTGCTTGGAGAAATAGTTCAGTTCGTTTTCTTTTCTTTCCTCGAGGCGCAGGATCTAATTCCAAATTCCCGTTGATGATTCGAATTCGATGGAATTCACTCTCATTCTTCTCCGCCATTGATGTGGCTTCTTCGAATCTCTTGCTCTTTGCTTATCGGAGTTTCTCTCTTGGATCTCCTCCGTCCCTGGATTGGTGGCGGCAGAATTCAGAGGCTGAAATTTTTCACGAATCATTTGTTGAAATAGCTACAACTAGTGCGGCAATGAATTAGAACAATTTGCCGAACCACGTTGCAGTTATTGTTGAATCTGCAGGTTTGGATTTCTCCACCGGAAAATCCTTTGAATTGGATTCCGTTGTTTCCTAAATTGTTATAGTTCGAAATCATGATGGATTCCGAATCCGCCGACTCTTCTTCATCAGCGCAACCTCCTCCTGCAAAACCTACTTCCACTGCAGAGCCTATTGCGATAGCTTCGAATGTCGATTCTTATGATACGTCTTCTAACGCGGAGCCCTCGGTTCCAACTGGAACTACGGCCGATCATCCAGCTGAAGAATCACGAACTACAACTGCGGAATGTAAGGATGCGAATACAAGTCTGCCTACGCCGACGCCGCCACCGGACTCCGTGGCTACAAGTTCTGGTGGTTCTACCTTTTCTCATATTACTAGTGGCATCGGATTGCGTCTCTCTGCAATGGCTTCTGGATCAGAAGAGGCTTCTCAAGGCAGTGCAACAACAGCTGGGCAGGGTGGTGTTCTTGAATCACTGACGAAGGGCTTGGTCGACTCATCTCGGAGTGCCGTCAAGGCTATCCAGGTCAAAGCTCGCCATGCTGTTTCTCAAAATAAACGCAGATATCAGGTAGCGTTTTCCTGTGCCTAATACGTGTAGGGATCTTACTTTTGGCCTCCAGCATTGTTCTGAAGGGAACTTTCTGTCACGTAATAATTTTCCCTATGTGCAATTGCTTGCTGATGTGCTCCTCCTTGATATTCCGTTTGTGAACAATTGACTGGATCATAGGAAGGAGGATTTGATTTGGATATGGCTTACATCACTGAGAACATCATTGCTATGGGGTTTCCGGCTGGTGATTTGAGCTCTGGGCTTTTCGGGTTCTTTGAGGTAAGTTTTGTTGCGAGACATGGACACCCAGAATTGACTAGCTCCTTCAGACTTGCTCTGAATGATATAAGAGCTCAAACTTTTGACATAGGGGTTCTATCGGAATCACATGGAAGAAGTGATCAGATTTTTTGAGAGTCGCCACAAGGTAGTTTCTTTTCTGAACACACTTGGTGTACTGTTGGACATTTGTGTAACTGGTTACAGCCTGGTCTTGATGATGAAATTATTTTAAACCACTAACTGTATCGAATTGAAGTAACTTTACAGAGTTAACTTATCAGGGGATTAAATTAAACTCACCCTGGGTACCATTTCCCAAGAGCAATGATAGCAGTACTAATGGTTTCATTCATGTGGGAATTCATTGGTTCTTTGTCTATGCAAGTGTATTAATATCTCTTGCCACTGATGCAGGGAAAATATAAAGTGTACAATCTATGTGCAGAGAGACTGTATGACGCATCACGGTTCGAGGGGAAGGTATTATAACAGTCTTCTTCCTCGTCACTAGGCTACTTCTTCATGAAATTTCCAGTTTTCGTTTAAGAAAGGGAATAGAATCTTAGATTTGAAAAGAGTAATTCTCTTAGAAAGATCTTCCAGAGAATAGAAATCATATAATTGCTTCGTCTTATGTCTGGCTGCAACTGTAAACTAGAGTTGAAGCTTGTTTTGCTGCTCCACTCCTTCGGTTCCGGTGAATAGGAGCTCTAGTTGAGGACCAGTCCTCTTTTTGTCACATTAGTTTTTCAACTGATTTGAATTGCATTTCTTGAATTATTTGACTAGGTGGCATGTTTTCCATTTGATGACCATAATTGCCCTCCGCTTCAACTCATACCATTATTCTGTCAAAGTGCATACTCCTGGTTGAAGGCGGACATTCAAAATGTAGTAGTAGTCCATTGTAAAGCTGGAATGGGCAGGACAGGTCTGATGATCTGTTGCCTTCTTCTATTTCTTAAGGTAATATTTTTTATCATGTCTCATCAATGATTCGTAGTGTATTTAGGTGAAAATAGGGTGTAATAACCCCATTAAAAAAAAAGTCAACCTTTGTTTCTACTGCAGTTCTTTCCGATTGCTGAGGAGGCCATTGATTTCTTCAACCAGAAAAGATGCATAGACGGGAAGGCTTTAGTTCTCCCAAGTCAGATTGTTAGTTGGTTTCATGTTTAGATTTATTTGCATATCTCAAGTTCTTTGGATGGTTTGTCTCTTCCTTTTTCTGATAAATGCTCTGCCTTTTCCCCCTTTTTGGTCTTTCTGTTTCTAGAGATATGTGAAATACTTTGAGCGCATCCTGACTTACTTCAATGGCAAAATTCAGCCTGGACGGAGGTATGTGATCCTTTTGTTACTTATGTTTGTAAGTTTGTATACTTTCTTTTCAAGAACTTGCTGAACGTGTGTTAATCTGATGTAGGTGCATGCTTCGGGGTTTTCGGCTTCACAATTGCCCTTACTGGATACGGCCTTCTATCACCATCTCCAATCATAGTGGTCGATTGTCTTTTAAGTTTTCGTCTTTCAAATCATCATTTTGTGCTCATGTTATTTTATGGGTTTTAGTTTGTTAGTATGTACAAGAAAATCTGGGTTGTGCCGTGATGGTATATAAAAACACATGAAAGCTTAGGGTTACAGTGCAGTTTGTGATTCCGGAGTATATTAATGAAGTCCGTCTATAAACAATAGTAACTACTATGAAAGGAATATAGGGTTGTCTTTCTGCAGAGTCTATATCTGTCTTAATGTTGAACTTCACAACTACTGGACCAAGTCGGTTCGAGTCCTTGTTCTCGTTAAACTCATTTTGAATGGAAGACTACATGGACGCTATATCAGCTTTTGGAATAGATCTGTAGAAACCTGACACAGCAGAATACACATTGTACTGTTGCTAGACCAGATTCTTTATTTGCTTGCCGTTAAATGTCGTATTTGTAGAAATATAAACGAGGCTTTTTACCTTATGCACAGGAGTTCTATTCTCAACAAGAAATCATCCAAAAACCAAGGATTTGATGGTAATTTCTTGTTCATTCATGCTCTTCTGATTAATACTTGACAGCTTTCTGAACTTATGTGCAAATTGACTGATTCAGCCTGAGGACTTTTGGATCAGTGGCCGGAGGAAAGGAATTGTTGTTTTTGCTCTGCCAGGGGAACCTGGTCTAACCGAGTTGGTTGGAGACTTCAAAATCCACTTCCATGACCGCCAGGGGGACTTCTACTGGTTAGTCAACTCTTCTAACTTGAAGAATGTTTTGTCGGATATGTATTTGCCAAAATGCCAGTTGCTCCTGACTGCATAATACATAAGCACATTCCTAATTTCTTGCCTGAAAATAAACCTTTTATCCTCTCTCTTGCGGTCAGCTGGTTCAATACTACGATGACGGAGAACAGGAAAACGTTAACAGGGGACGAAATTGATGGCTTCGACAAGGTAACTTCAGATTCAGCCTTTCAGATGCCTGTCAAAGTTCTTTCCTCTTGACACATACTCTGCTGTTGTTAAAGTCGAAGCTGCATTTTCGCAGAGAAAACTGCCTTCTCCAGGATTCGAGGTTGAGATTGTGATGATAGATTACGATGGTACATCACCACCGGTAACTACAAAGACCAATTCAGCAAGCAACAGTTCTAGCGCGTCAAGTTGTGCTGCAACAGCGAATACAGGAGGAGCTTATGTTGCTCCGAAGTCTTCTAATCAAAAGGAAGCGTCGGCGAGCAATGAGGAAGACGATGTATTCTCCGACAGCGATGAAGAGGACACCAAAGCAGCCTCAAAGAGCAAGCAAGGTCAAGGTCGGAGTGAAGGTCAAGCTGCTCCGCCTACTAGTGAACCGGCTATGTCCACCACAGAACAAATGAACAGCTTGACTCGTGGAACGAAGCAGGTGAGTCTCGGTCTTGCTAGTAAGGAAACTTCACAGCCAAGTGCGAGCAGCGAGCCAGCTGCCATTCAGAAACCTTCAGCGAGCGTGGGAACACCAAAGTTGGAGTCCGGGGCCAGCGATATCAAGGCGATGGCTGCTGATGCTTCGGTGTTCAGTTTTGGGGACGAAGATGATTTCGAAAGCGATTAAAAGATGACAGGTAGGCTCGTTCAGTTTTGACCAACAAGCTATACCATCTTTCGAATGGCCCCCTTAGGATCAGCGAATGACGCAATGCGAAATCGATATGGCCTGGAGCTTGCAAGGTTAGATTAGATGTCAATTGTATTAGTTGTATCAATTTCGTAGTGTTATGGGGTTATTTGGATGCCAAAGTTGAAAAGTGGTTGATTTTAACGCACCTATAAATTTCAGAATATCGGTGTTAGGTCACATTGATCTTAACAAAGCTCACTAATATTTCTGTATGAGGGCAAAATAAACATTAGGAGAGCCAAGTTTCAAGAGTACATATACGAGAAAAATAAATTTTCAAATTTATGAGGTGAAGGTGTTCAAAAAAATTTGATGCCCTCATGAACCATGATAATTTGAAGAGAGTGATCTAAATCTTTCCTTCAGTTAAATGTTACAGGACGCTTCATCAACGACAAACTTCAATACTAAATCAACCAACTCCGGTTCAAAATTGTGGGGAATATCGAAGACACGATAAAAGCGGATAACAGTAACAAAATCCTCTCCACGAGTTTAAAACCGTTACCGTCCCTTCTTAGTGGTCTTCGCGTCATTCAATTTCTGTTTGAGATCAGCAATGATCTTGTCCTGGGTAGCAATTTCGAGGTCTTTCGCACGTATATGTTGCTTCAGTTTTTCCATCTCTTTCAAGTGGTCGTCGCAATGATTCTTGACATCTTTCTCCTCCAGTTCTTGTTTCAATCTTTCAGTTTCTTTCAAGTGAGCTTCACCTTGGACTCTTAGTTCTTGCTTCAATCTTTCGATCTCTTCCAGGTGGTGACCATCTTCAGATGACTGATCCGTTTTTCGCTTCTTTTGACCACTGCGGTCCTCGAGTTCCAGAGCTCTCTTTTGCTGCTGATCCTGGAGAGAATCCTCGGGCACCATTTGACGTACACAAACAGTAGTAGTTTTTCCTGAGTCAGAGACGAGGGTGACCAGCTTCTGTGGGCGTCCAGCAGAATCCTGCACAAAACAGACAATGACAGAGACTCATTAATTTCAATTACATCAATCCAATTCCTCCCAACTTATGGCAGATTTGGAATCCCCATTGCACTTCTGTTTGATTCCAAACATAAAAATGTGAATGGAATTGACACAGGAAATCAGATTCCTCTTAGTTTTTATTGATCCCAATCAGCCTGTAAAAATAAACAATCCTTTGATACTACAGGAGATAGATACTAGTCATCAAACGATGCGAAACTTATGGCTAAAGGCGAGGGACAGAGCCATCAAACCAAGTCCTCTGGCCGGTAATTACCTTTTCAATGGAGCCATCTACTTTTTGGAATGCTTCATGTGCCTCTCGTAACTTCTTGAAAATGGCTAACACGGAGTAGTGTTTTCCCTGTCCTTTCTTAAGTGGCTGCCAAAACATTATTCCATCATCAGCACTATAGCATAAGGATAAAGAAAGCAAGTAATTGATTTAACAATGCCCTAAAAACAATCGACCAGGTTACATGATGACTAGATCAAATCTATGAAGGAAGTTCACCATTGTGTATGGCTGAAATCGAAAAATTAATCTCAATGTAGAAAACAATAAGAAAATCCAAAATGTGATGGAGAACAAAAGAGTTAACCCTTGTCTGTAGAACCCATAGAATAACCCCATGGTTCAGAGTTCAAATGTAGCTGTGATTTGCAGAGCCAAAGGGCTAGTTTGATTCCGCTAAAAATTAAGAAAAATATCTCATCAATTCTACTTTCTTCGAAAATCTCACCATAGTTTCTCTCTACTTTCACTGAAACTTAAATCACAAGTCACTTTCTTTTTAGTAAAAGCTACAAACACACTCATTAACTTATGTACAGTGTTCTGGGACAGTAGCCTTCTAAAAATGAAAAGGATTAGGTTCACCTTTAGCTCAATAGTAAAGTTTGCAGGAAAGACTCTTCTTAGTTCTTCGGTTGGCACAGCGCTCGGTATTTTGTGAACGAGCAGCCTAGCAAGTTCATCATCAGGTACCTGCACGCTTGCCAACAAATTTAGTAAGTTCAATGAAATCTGCATCATAACCTTAATAAAGTGAGCTTGTTTAACTTACACTCTTCAGGTTAGAAACAAGCAACGGAGTTTCTTTATCAACTCCATGCTTGAGCTTAGCCAGTACAATTTTCATAGCAGTACGTGCATCATCTAAGCAATTGTGAGGAGCACCTTCCTCTCGAAGCTTATAGCCTAGAATTGACTGTAAAATTTGAGCGAAGATTAACCATGTGTCTTGAATGAAACATGTTGCAAATAATTCGCTGAATTTTACAGCTTCTAGAATTCCAACCAACAGATTATATCATAGACATTCGTTAAACAAGGAATTGGAGAACTAGAGAAGCAGCTTACAAAAAATAAGGCATAATGATCATTCAGAAACTTACCTCACACAAATTACTCAAAGATGGTACACGCCCAACCGAATTTTTGTAGATAAGTGACGTGTCTATAATTCTTGCGTGGTCCAACTTCAATGCTGCCATTGATGACAAACGTAAAAGAAAACGATCAAGTTCTACTGAAAACAAATCAACATAAGCCCAGCCACATACTTGAAGCATAAAAGTGTTTTTTCACGTACCAAGCAGGTCATTATGTAACCCATGGCCCACTAAAATGGAACCTTTGGACAATAGCTTTTTCAAGGATTTCTGAAAGAGAGTGCAGGAGAACAACTTCAGACAATAGATCGGTCAATAAAACAATGATAGTTAAGAGACCATAGTCTTGGTACCTGTATATCTCTCAAGGAACATGTAACATTATCCAGATCTCCAGGATGGATTCCAGTAATTTCAGCTCGATAATCTGCAACTGGCTTGTAAGGGTTTACTTTCTCGTGGAGCTTGACCTAAGATTTAAGGCTAATTAGTCAGTTCCAATAAAATGGAATTATCCAAATTTCATGAACAAAGCCGGCCAAATGAAAGGACCAACAAAAAAACCAAGATTGGGAACCTGTAAATCACGGTCCACAACACAGACTCTCACTAAAGCATCAGTACCATCCTCACAAAGAACCATCTCACAATCAAGAGCAAGCATCTCATCCGATTTTACCAGCTTGGACATTTTACAGGGTTTTGTTACAACCCAATCCTGCCACATCACATATAGCAATAATCAAGATACGACAGAGTTTGATAATTGACCTAATTGATTCAACCCGCTAGTACTGCCATCAAAGTAGAGGAATGTAAACAGCAAAAACAAACCTTTTCATATGATGGGAACACATACTTCGCCATGAAAAGTGGATGTTCAAGAGTTAAATGAACCAGCCTCTGCACTGCCACGGTTGCAAATTTCACCACAGGTTAAACACATTAACCAAACCACGGTCCAAATCCAGAAGACACAGAAACATTCACAGAATGCCCCAGTGATTCCCCAGAAAACCAACGGAAAACTGAAAGCAGTTCCCAAAAGCAGCCAACCGCACTGTAACCAAATGGAGCTCAGCCCTATACCTGTTCGGGAGACACATCGTCTGAAGCCTCTTTAGCAATCTGCAGCAACACCTCCCGGCTTGAATGCGACTTGAGAACATTATCAACAAACTACAACAAGAGAAAGAAACAGACATTTCAAACAGCGAAGTTTACAGGTCCTGAAACCGCTTGATTAGAGAGAACAAATTAATTTCATTTCGAAGTGGTTGGTTGGTTGGTTTACCTTGGAATCATCTTCTCCGCTAAATGTTTGAAGGAAAGAAGCCAAAGCGTCTTTGGGCCTCTTGCCAGGATCACTGAGTGAAGAGCCAAACTTCTTATCGTAGACATTGAGGAACTCCTTCCAGCTTCCCTTTGTGCCCTTGCGCCCCTGCCTTTGCGCTAACTTCACAATCTCGGTCAGAACCTGTGCCAGAACAGATTACGGACCAGAGTGAAGGGGAACCTTACATTAGTTTCTGCTAACTTGCGACGGTGGTAGCTCGATTGAAGTGTTGCAGGGGATTGAAGGAGGCAGTAGAATAGAACGGAATCAACATAGGGATAGGGAGAGAGAAAAGCTCACCTTTGCCGGAGCGGCGGCGATTGCGGCGGCTAGTTTGTCGTCCATTTTAGGGATTTCTGGTTGAGAGAAAGGGCTGCTGGCTGCTGCTAAGCAGAAAAAAGCCGGGAACAGCTGCAAGAGGGTTTATTGTTGAAAAGTTGCTGCGTGCCTTCGCTTGTTGTTATTAGTTAGTACATGCCCTAGGTTACTTTCCTTTCGTTCGCAGAGCAAACTCGAACCGGCTTCCTAGATAGGACTTAGGAGAAAGGGTTTTTCTCCAAGAAATTGTGATTTCACTTAGGAATGTCCATGCCCGGTTCAAAGCGAGTATTTCAATATTCATGTTGGTCCAGTAGCATGTCTGGTTAAGGTTGGATATTTTGTTATAGGGTGCAGTTTGGGTCAGATCGACAAATATGAGTAGAGTTGCAAATAAGTCAGGTTGTGAGATTGAAACACGTTGTTTCACTTAAATACGTCGATTCGACTTCCAGTCGTGAAACAAGTAAGTCGCGGCTTAAGCCGTGGGATGTGGTGGTCGTGAACCAGGCAGTGAGATAGATCGTGAGACAGGTCATGGGGCAAGAAAAACTTTCTGGAACTTTTAGCCATCTCACGACTTTTTGGCTCATCTCACGGGTTATCTAACGGCTTGTCCGCCTAAGCCGTGACTTGGGTGCCAACTTTACGTCGTCTCGTGTTTTGCCCTCCAATCTTCCCGAAACTCACCCCCAAGCTTTAGATCATGCACTAGATCATGCACGTTGCAGCACCTCATTGTTTTAAATTCAAAAGCTCTTATTCTCATGACTAGAGCATAATTGGCATTCACTTCTCAATCTAGTCCATGCGAGGAAAGTGGTGCAACAGAGGATGGCAAAGTGAATAGTGAAGTTGGATGTTAATCGACTTGAGTAGAGGTCTCTCGACTTGATCAAGAAAAACCATCTCTTCTATATCAAGTCACATAAGGAAGAGAACTACAAGGGAGTGTCAAAAGTAGTAGGAGAAGGTTGGATGACTAATCCGATTCTCCCTTACACAACTCTCAAAAGCGCACTGTAGTACTTGGACCGGATGCCACAACACGTGAAACCTGTATTTTTTTTTTCATTTTTAAAGCACATTAAGAGCACATTTTCATTCAAACATTTTAAGTCCACAAAAACGGGTGAGAGTCATCAACACTGCACAAATCACACATCCAAACATGACTATTCAACACGTCAACCAACATCTTCCATAATGCTCCACTGGCCTTCTTAGGTTGCATACTACCATGAAATCTAGCAATTCAAACACACTAAGCAGGTAATCACAAGGGACAATGTACTTGGAGCCCTCAAATTAAATATTTGAACATTGAACTAGACTCTAAGCACTCTCAATATAGGCCAAACATTCATTCAAAAGCAATGCATCTAAGATAATCAACACCCTCACACTTAAGTACGACATTGTCCTCAATGGAGGAAGATAAGGAGAAGGTGGAACGAAGTTACCGGACATAGGACGAATGTTGAACGGAATGGAGAAGGACCAGTCACGAGGATCAGCTTGGTATTGTTAGGAAACCCATTCAAACACTTAAAAAGAGTTGATCTACAAACCGAGCATAAGTTCACAAAACACAAACAAAACACAAATGTTACAAAAGAAAACAAAACACAAGGGGGGACCTTAGGGGCCATCACTCCTCCTTGTCACTCTGGTCCTGGGCGGGCACATCGAGTCCAAAGTGGTCGAGGAGTCGCTCCTGCATGGTCTCAATGCGAGGAGTCCTGCTCTCTAAGGCGTCGAGAAGGGCAGAGTGGTCGGAGGAACAACTCGTGTGGTTACGGTACTGAAGAGCCGGAGGTGGAGTGAAAAGCGATGGTGGTACCTGCTGTTCATCGACAAGTGGGACGCCAGCAAGGGTAGTAGCAAGGAGGGGCATATGAGGAAGGCGATGGAGGTATCGAACACCATTGGTCTCTTTCAAAAGCGGCATGTGCCTCAATGTCGACTCGGGTAGATCAACGGTACAACCAACGAGGGTGCACCTAGTGAGTTTGAATCTAAAGTATCGGGAAAGCCAAATGATGTAGGGCCCACCGCCGCCGCCCATCACCACCTGAAATACCACCACACCACCAACACTTTTTCATCCTCAATTGTCGTCGTCATCATAGTCTTCCTTAAACCTTGTGGTGGAGATGAGAGTTGGGCAGGAGAGATGATGAAACGTCCTGTAAATCTTGAGATGAGCTATTCGATTTGGGGGTTATGGATGGGTTTGAGAACTGGGTTTGGCTTCTTCTTTCTCGATTGAAACTTGAAAGAGAGAAGAAGGATCGGGGGAGCTAGGATAGGCAGATTAGAATTGGAACAAAGGGAGCGGCGGTGGAGGAGAATTGGCGAATGACAGACGGGAGGGTTTCATATTTAGGGATTCTTTTTTGTTTTCCATTGGAGAGGGTTTCGTGGGAAAAATGGTTATCCTTTTTTTATTTGATTCATATACTTATAATAAAAAATCATCTAATTTTGTTTTTTGACAGAAAAAAATGTCACGTCAGCAAAAATCGTTAGTATAGTCAGCATTCTTTATAATTCTCTTAAAGTTATTGACGAAATGACTATTTTAGTATATTTTTCAAAAAGTGGCTATTATTGTCACAACGCGAATAGTTATGGCTATGGAAGTGTATTTTGCCTTGTTTTTACAAGGGCTGAACAAATTTCTTTTATTTTCTTATTTTCAATTTTGTTGTTTATTTTTAGAGATAAAATCTATTAGAACCTATCAAAAGGTCGCATTCATTGTTATTAAGTGAATTTACATATTATTGATAAAGATGAATAATTAAAGTGTAATTAAAAAAGTATACCAGTTGGAATTAGAACTTGTCCATCGAGGAAGGGTGAGAGCCAACTATAAGGTGATGTGGCACTAATTTAGTCTTGATATCCTATAATATTAAGCAAGAATAAGGATGCTCACTAGACTGCATGTCTATTTGTAATTCACCCACGTCAATCACCTTCGGTTTCACATGTTGTGGGAGAAAGGGTTAAGTATATTGGCTCCCATAGAAAGAAAATGCTCTCGAAAAAGAGACGATGGCCAATTTCAAAGTCAAAACAGAAAAATGTTACCGAATCCTAGTTAAATAAGGATACACGACACAAAATTCAAAAAATTGGAAGCTCCGTAATTCAGCTTCAAACCAATGTTTATTTGTGTCAGATATTTTTAAAAAAAATAATGAAGGTGGTGAGCGGTACTAAGTTAATTATATAGAATCTCAATTCAAACCAAATTAAAAATACAAATTTTTTTTATGTGGATTGCTCAGAAGATGATGATGATGATGATGTTGTTGTGGTTCCGGCAATAGCTTCCTTAGCAGACTGGAGCGTGCTTGCGACAGAAGCTGCGGCAGAGGCCAAAACGCCGCCGCTTGTGTTGGACTTTGGTTGAGGAGGAGGAGGATTGTGATGGATCACCTCCACTTTCCTCAGCTCTTGTCCTTGCCCTGCCGACGACCGGTAATCCACCGAGGTTGTCTTTGTTTCCTCCAGACCATGGGATTTCTCTGCCTGCGTCTCCTGCCAAAATTCAAAATATTTTTCTAACCAAACCAAAAAAATCACAAAACCCTATTCCATGATCTAAAGTTGTGCAATGTGTTCATACCTTCATTGCGTTTGAACTCATGGTGATTAATGGGTTGATTTTATTGATTGAGAGGCTTCGTTTCTTTCCTTTTTCTTTTGAGTTTTTTCCTGTAGTCTTTTTCTTCTTTCATAATGGTTTCTCTGTTTGTATGATGTTAGGGATAAGTTCGATGCTTCGAAGACCACTCTTTGGCCGAAAAACTTGGGTCGAAGATGAGGAGGGCGTTTGTGGTTCCACCCTCTCTCTCTGCTGCTATCATGGAGACGACTCCACTTGTAATCACAAACATATTTTGGTCTAGTAAAATTTTCTTCCAATATGACGTTGCTTCTGTTATGACGAGACACAGATAGAATAAATCTTTGAAAGTATGATGTGATAATTTTTTTAGAGTGTTATTTGTCGTCACTGCAAATTGTTAATTAGATTTAGAAAAAAAATTAGGTAAATCTCAATCTGAAACATGAACTTTTAGTTATTTTGTGTTCACGAATAGAAAAGGAAAATTAGAAGAAGAATGATGAAGATTTATGAGGGGCAACAATTTTTTTATTATGTCTATCACCACTTGGACAACTTCTTATGAACCATTTGTAAAGATCAGTAGATCTTTGGTCAAACACAAATGTGTAAGCCTGCCCTACTGCACTGGGGATGTTAAGGAAGAACCGACATTGTTGCAACCTTGTTTAGCTTACTACTTAGTACCTCCATACTAATTGCAATCAAATAGGGGATGATAGACACCCTTGTCGAAGGCATTTCTTTGCACCAGACCTCTCTATCAATCCCCCGTTCAAACACATTGTTAACCCAACATTATCAAGACATCACTACAACAAATTTGGCTTATTAGGACAAATTTTTTTATTTTGTCATTTTCTGTTTGTCACAATAGGTACGGTGATATGACAAAAATAATATATGTCCTATTTGATAATGTGACAAAAAAATGTTGTCAGAATAAATAGTCATTTAAAGTGAGTAACGTGACAAATATTTCATGTCACAATTAATTTTGTCGGAATAGTCGTCCTATATCGGGATGTAAGAGACACAAAAGTGACAAATTTCATGTTGTAAGAATAGTTCGTCATTTAAAGTGAGTAATGTGACAAATAGTTTGTGTCACCATTAAGTTTGTCAAAATAACCCTTCTCGGCCCACTATAAACTAAGTGCCCAGATTTAGTTATGCCCCTTATCCGCAACCTAATTATTGTGGTTGCTCTTATCATTAGTATTATTGGTTTTGCCATTTTAGTAGGTTGTGTACGAGTGGGCAGGGTCGTTTGGTTCATTTATCTGATTAATTGAAGTTCATAACTAATATTTTTGGTGATGTGGACGAACAATTAGTCAAAATTAACAAATTTTCGGATGAAAATGGACGAAATAACCAATTTGTTATATGCTCAAATATGCTTTACCGCATCATGTAAAATAAAAAAAATTGTAAACGTTTTAAACAAAATGCAAAATTTTGTGACCGTTTATGCTAATTACCCATAATATTCCATCAAACATAGATGCAGGCGGCCAAGTATTATACCACAGAGTTACATAAATCCTAAGCATCACTTCTTGTTGATAAAAAACCTACATTATGCAGTTGTAATAGTAGTAACAACCTAGATGGAAGAAGAAGATTCTTCCACACAAGGTCCAACACAGAGAAAGGAAATGGGAAAGTCCAATCATGGCTACACCAAGCTGCAGAGTAAATCAAAGATCAGTAAGTCATAAGAGGTGACCCACTGCAATGGACATCAGTAGCATCTGGGAACCTTTGCCTAGGAGACAAGTTATTGATGCCAGCTGCCTCCACATCCAGGTTTCTAATGCTCTTCCTCTTCTGAGAATCTGGGTTCACCATCTTCTCCTCTGATGATAACACCTCTGGGATGGGACTCAAGGACCCTGCTTCTTCATTCTCCTCCTGACAGTTTAGAGACATCATGGCTCGAGCCTCTGCAACTGCTGACCCATCGTTGTCTGCAGCATACAATATCTGCTGAATTGCAGCAATAACCTGAATATTCAGAGTAGTAACACATGGATTAGAGGGTATGAAAAGAGCTTGAAATACAAAAAAATCATCAAAGAGAGAGATGGGTGAAGCTTTCTCTCACAGGCAGTCCTTCAAGACCAGGGCTCTGGCAGAAAAGCTCAACATCTCTCAGCTTGGCAAAGTAGTAGTCTCTTTCCTTCTCAAGGCTATCCACGGATAGCTTCAGTTCTGTGATCTGCTACCATTCAAGTAGTCCATGTCAGACACATATAAAGCTCAATCAAAGCAAACAACTAACGTTACTCCTGACTCTTACCTGTTCTTCATATGCTGGTGCAGGCGGTGGAGGTCTAGCAGCCTTCACGTTTAGGGTTGAAGACGAGTTGGAGTTCACTGAAGAAGAAGACTCATGCCTTCGACCGTGGTGGGACTGTGCTTTGGGGGCAGCCGCAGTGCCTTTGGCCGAAGTTTGAGCCGGTGGACCTTTCTTCCCTACTTCTTTTCCACCCTTGCTACCCTCTCTTCTCTCGATTGGGTTGTAACTGTGAGTTAAAAGCCAGCCAAACAGGAGCCAATTCACACTTCTTGTCAAAATTTACAGCATTGCTTCCCAAACAGCATTCTCAAATCCATATCCACAGAACCCCAAAAGCGAGAAATTGAATCAAAATCTTCTAAAGCCAGTAACCAACTAATAGGCATCGGTTTTCATGCTTAGAGGAAAACGAAAGAAAACAGCGAATCGCGGCGGTCGAAGAAGAGGAAATTCACCTGACAAGGCCACCATTGACGGAATCGCAGTAGCGCTTCAGCCACTGCATGAACTCCAGATTATCCAGAGGCCTCCCTTTCACAAGCTTGCTTACTTCAATATGCTGTCCAGTCGAAGGAAAACAGGGAAACAACAACACTTCAAAAAAAACGGAATCAATCGCGCGATTTCATTCAAACAAAACGTGGAAGTCGCTAATCCACATACCTTTGTGATTTTGAGTTTATTGAACACATCCTGAAGGACCTTGTAGTTCTGAATCATCTCGTACTCGCTCTTGGCATCGAAATTGACCTTGTGCATCGGCACCATCCCTGGATGAACAGCGTCCAGAAGCTGACAGTGAACCGCTCCAGAGCACGCCTGGAACCAAACAACAGATCTAAGTAAGAAAAATTTTCTTCGGGGCGAGAAGTTAGGGTTTCAGAGAATAGCGAAAGAAACAAGCCTCTTCGACTTTGGAGAGATTGAGTTGGAGAGTGGAGTTGATCCAAGCGAGAATCTCCGATCTGCCGACGAAGTACGCCGCATCCATCATCCCGATCTTCGTCGCCATCTCCGACTCTCTCCGCCGGTTCGTAACTCGGTGAAATCCTCTGGTTTCTCTGCGATTTTGTTGAGAGGAATGAGAAGTGAGATCTCTCGTTTACCGTCCTCCGTCTCTCCTCGGCTTATGAGTCCACACAAGGCGCGTGGTTTTCCTGACTTTTGTTGAGAGAGAATAGCGAAACAGAACAGAAAGGAAGTGAGAGTGGGGAGAAGAGCGGGCTCTTTTACAATTCAAAATCGGGATTGGCATGTGACCGTTACAGAATCGGGTTATGCGGGTAGGGTTTTCTGGAAACCCGGATTTATTTGGGCTTCCACCTCACCAGCCCAGCCTCACAAGTTGGGCCACAAATCATTTGCAGCCATAGTGGCAGGCTTCCAACAACATGAAATGGAGGTGCCCAGGCACTTTTTTTTTTTTTTTGGATAAAAGGGAGGTAAGAATCAAGGAACAGCTCTACCAGGTACAAACAAAAGGCAAACGCCCAGCTACCAGCTAAAACTCAACAGCCGCACACAGGCAGGAGGCAAAAAAACAGACTCGACCGTCGAAAAAAGACGGAACCAGCGGGCCAAAAGTTACCCCTCCCTAACAGCCCATCGGGGAAAGCTAACTCCGATGATGTCTTCTCTAATGATCCGGGCAAGCTCTTGAGGTGGGTCCTCCACTTCATAGATACCGAAGGGGTAGACGAGACTGTGCTTCGAGAGCCAGTCCGCATCTCTATTCCCTTCTCGGTAAGTATGTCCTAGTTGAACCACCCAATTTAGAGAAAGAAGACGCCTAATCTCACCAAGAATACTGGCATGAAGATGCAAAGGGTCATTCGGTTGTCTGATCAGGTCCAGGGCTAGAGCGGAGTCAGATTCCAAAAGTAGAAACTGGATGCCCCTTCTCCAAGCGAGTTTAAGGCCCTGAAGAATGCCCCAGAGCTCCGCCATAATAGCTGTGCCTGTACCAATTCTGTGGACGAACCCTGCAATCCAATCACCATCACTGTCGCGAATGATCCCCCTGCTGCAATGTCCCCTCTATGGCCTTGAGCAGCGCCATCCGTGTTCAGTTTAAACCAGCCCAGGCACTTGAAAGCTTGAAAGGGAGGTTCCATACTTATGACTACCCCACGTGTTTGCAAAATAAATTCAAGTCCAACCATTTTGGCATGCGTACAAAGAGTATTTAGGAGCCACCAAGTGTGGAGCTCATAGCTAGGAAGGAGGCTCATGAAACAAGTAAGAGTGAGGCTATGACTTTGGCTCGATGAAAAATAGACGTGTGATCGAGATACAAAAAATGGTGCTCGATGGGGTGCCTCGGCGCCCAATTTAAATAAAAAAAAGGAAAAGAGAGCTAGTTGCAAGGTGCTCGGAGCCGGAGGAAAATAAGGTAAAGAAAAAGAAATCAAGTAAAATGAGAGTCGAAGCTCTCGGTGGACATATATAGATAACGAGTGCCACGAACTCAAAGAAGAATAACTAAAAGAGAGATAAAGACAAGAGAGAGTCCAGATTTATGAAACGAACTTGTACTTTACGGTATAAAATACACAGTAATCTCTAACAAACAATATTATTCAGTAATTTTTCAACTACACCACTAGTATTTTTGTGAGATAAAATTACATTGACTTGTATATAATACATTATAAATTCTAAATTTTGTTCCTATTTTTCAACAACTCTTGTCCTTGAAACTTGCTATCTAGATTTTATCCTAATAAATTTTCTAATTTTTGGAATAAATTACAAAAAAATATGAGCAGTAATATGCTAAAGATGGATTTGAACTCTAATCTCATTGTTAACAGTTTACTTATTTAACAACCAATGACAACTTACCCTAAAATGCCTATGGATTTGAGACATCTGTGGACTATGATACGCTCCGAATTTCGGATGCATAGGATACATCATTGTCATTTGTAAATGAATATAGTATCACTTACAAATCTTATATAAATAGTATGATAATATTATAAATAGATGTTTACAAATGTTTGATGTGGCTTTAAAAAATTGTTTTTATATATTTTAAAGCTCGTTTATAACCATTTGTTTTGTAAGGCTAATGTGCATCATATTCACATGTTCATTATTATCAAATGAGCACCACACCTAATTAGGAAAACCCTAGAAAATGACATGAGAATGTATTTAAACATATGATCCAAGATAAGTGAAGTGCAGATGATGACATGATTGGCCATAATTCACAACTCGAATTACAAACGGATATATGTGTGATTTTGTTAGGGATAAAGCTCGCCCACTTGATGATGATGATGATGATGATCAGTGGCGGATACATGCATGACACCCCTAAAATTTGGAAACACGATTATTCAACCTACGATAGTAATTTACGTATAAAAAAAAAATGTTTAAGTGGTAGTGTGGGACACCTTTAAAATTTGGGAAAATGATTATCCAATCTCCCGTAGTAGTTTGCGTATTGATATAAATAATATTTAAGTAGTAGTTTATGTGATTTAAATTTGGGACACTGCCACTATTAGTTAATATATTTTCAATTATGCTACAACTCATTTGTTATTGTGTTTTAGATCCAAATATAATAGTAAAATGTTATTCTTATTTCAAATTATTTTCAAAACCTAACGATTAAACTCAATTACGGGATATTCTTGTCTACTAAGATATGTCGAGAAATATTTGTTGAGCAGTATAAACACCGAATTCATTTTATCATTTGATGAAACACGTCTGAACTTTTAATGAAACTTTTATTAGTTAGATATTTTCATATTTAATAATTATTTAATTTAATTCTAATATTTAATTTAATTTAATTTTTTACAGAGGACACCCCTACGCTGAATTCCTGGATCCGCCACTGATGATGATGATGATGATGATGATGAGCTTGCTATAATAATTCCTTGAAAGCTCCAAAAACTGGAATATGACATTTGACCTAACCATGCAGAGGCCATACGGGAAGGAAACATAAAGCTGAGTTTGAACTCCCCTCTCTCTCTTATTTTCAAATTCTCTCTGCCATCTCTCTACTTCCTCCCGTTAGGGCTGCCGCCGGCACCTCTTGGTGATCGGCGGTAGCCCAAAAAATCTTTCTTTTCTCGTTTTTCTGTTGCTTTCCTGCTTTTCATCGCCTTCCTCTTCGGATTTCCGTTGTCTTTCCTGGCCTTCCTTGGCTTTTTCCTGCCGTTATGGCGTTTCCCCTTCTCCTAAGTGGGTATTTCCTCTTCCCTCTCAATAGAGGAGGTTTTGCCATGTTTCTGCTCCAGATCTTCTAGATTTGGTTTGGCTCTGCTCTGTTCTGGGTTCGGAGGATGCATCTTGGGTTTCTATCCAATTTTGGTGCGATCATCTTTTAGGGTGATTGCATTCACCGATTCCCCATCCGTTGTCGTTCCTCGGTGCGTCGATTGGCTGTTGTGGAGTAGGAGTCTCCTCTGGTTGCTGAGACGATTGCACCTTTGTTGCAGTAGTTTTGAGATTCATCTAGGGTTGATTTTGTTTTCTTTGCATGTAGGGTGTTGGGGTTGTTGTTGGGGCTGCTGATTTGGGTTCTGGTTTTGGGATTGTTTGGGTTGTCTCTTTTGGCGTTTGTTTTTGTAGGTCATTTGTTCTGGTCGGTTCTGCTCTTCTCTCCTTTTCTTTGTTTGTGGCTGTTGTCAACCCTCAGGTGAATCTCTTCTCTGCTGTGTTCATGGTTCTCTCTGCTCCAGTCCCGGTTGCCGTTTTTCAGCTCCGAGCAGTCCGAATCTCATCCCTGTCCACCGCCGCGCAATCCCTCATAGGCGATTCACTGTGATGGGTGTCTTTGAACTACCCCCAGAAGGCGGCATATGGTGTTGCTTTGCTCAATAACCATGGTCAAGGCTGGGTTTGGGCGAGCTGAAGCTCTGCTGTATCTCACTCTGTTTGATGCGATTACATTGGCTGCTTGATCCTCTGTTTTCAGCTCTTGAAAAGGGTCCCCTGTCTTTCTGTTCATGTTGTATCGCGCTCTGTTTGCTTTTGGGCTTTTTCTCTTCATTTTCGGTGTTTCTGGTTGTTTGGGCTTTCTTTCTTGTAGTTGATTTTCAGAGTGTATCTCTTTCTTTTGTAACCGAGTTTCTTTCGGAGTGAAATATAAGTAACCTCTTTGTCAAAAAAAAAAAAAAAAAAAAAAAAACTTTGACGATTTAATAAAACATCCCATCGCGCATATAATTCTATATATATTGTCTTCTATCGTATCTTGGATAAAATTTAAGATACGATATACCCTGAGTAAGAAAATCATATCTAGATCACTAATTAACCGGACTTTTGGGCATGATTTTATACTCTAAGTCTCTAACCCTTAATGAGTGAACCCTAGGTCTTAGTTATCTAAACCATAGAGCCTAACCCATAAAATTGTGCATATAATTTGTTGCATATATTTCGACGAATCATTAAATTGATCTTAGTGTATGAGATTTATAGAATTAAGACTTGAATTTTGATCTTTAAGGGTATGAGAATAGTACCAGATATCAAACTTCAGTCAATTCAAGGTTTAAATATCATTTTTTTACTCAAGATATGCAATACATTTGATTTTACCCAACCGTACTATATATATCTAAAATAAGCTTTTTCTAGCCACCCAAAAATTAAACAAAAATGATTTATTTGTTGATAGAAACATATGACAAAACCCACCCTAAAGGGGAATAATTTAAATTAACAATAATAGTGGGAAGAATGGAAATTTGTTTGCTTCTGACTCTGAGCAGTTGCTTTTCTTCCCAACTGTATGCCTTTGCAGCTGGACAATCATTGAAGAACCACAAATATAAAATCTTTCCTATTTATTATTTGGCAAAATATACTTACATATTCACAACTTTCACATTTGTAAGTTATGACAGATATAGCCATAATTTTCAAAAATATACGAAATAGTCAGAATTTTGATAGTTGTTTGACAAATCTAGCCATTTCCGTTACAAATGTTAACGGTGTTAGAGATTCCGTTAGTTAGATTAACGACACGATGACTAGGATACCAAATTGCCGATCACGTCAGCGACAACTCAACTTCACTTGCTACGTAGATGCCACCTCATAATTTACTTTAAAATATTTTATGCAAAATACACTTCCATAGCCACAACTTTCACGTTTGTGACAATTATAGCCACATTTTCACATTTGTGACATTTATAGCCACAACTTTTGAAATATAAAAATAGCCAGAATTTTGATGGTTTTTTTTACAAAGCTAGTCATTTCCTTTAGAATCTTTCGAAATACATGAAATTGGCGCGATCCTTTCCTCGATTTCTTCTTAGTGCTCAGTTTGAGAGGGAATGCAATGAATTGGGCCAATTGATAGCGACAAATCGAGCTTCACCGAAAACAAGAACAACCGCACCCACAACGGTTTCGAGGAATTGGAGGGGAAAATGCACTACGAGCCGCAACATCCTTCTTTCCTGATGCCTTCTTCTTCACAGTCGTCGTCAGCTTCTTCCCGCAACCTTCTTACCCGTTTTCTGGCTGTTTCTCTGTGACTCTAGCAAGTGTTTGGGGGCCTTCACCTTCAATCTAGTTGTGGCTATAATTGTCACAAGCGTGAAAGTTGTGGCTATAACTGTCACAAGCCTGAAAATTGTGGCTATAACTGTCACTAAAGGTGGCAATTGGATCGGATTCGTGGATTCGTGGATTGGGTTGGTGGATCCATGAATCAAATGGATTGGATCCAATGGATTGGTGGATTCATGAATTGGATCTAATGGATTGATGGATTGATCCATGAATCCAAATGACATCCAAGGCTTGGATCAAAATGTAAATTTTGAAAAGTTTAGGTACTAAAATGTCATAATGAAAAATTTTAGGTACCAAAATGTAATTTTTCAATGATTTTTTTCGTATAAAAATATAAATTTTAGGTACCAAAATATAAAATATAAAAAATATAGGTAACAAATCGTAATTTGCCATTTGGATCCATGGATTGATCCATGAATTCACCAATCCAATTGGATTTGGATCAAATGGATTGGATTTAAATGGATTGGATTAAGTGGATAAGTTGGTGGATGAATTGGATTGGATTCATGGATTTGGATCCTAATTGCCACCTCTAACTGTCACAAACGTGAAAGTTGTGGCTATAAAAGTGTATTTTTATTTTTGTTAATCCACGTGGATCGCCAACTCATCATTTCCGTTAGTCCAGTCATACTGTTAAGTGACACCATTAAAGTGATGTACGAAAGTTGCTATTTTGTGTATTTCGAAAAGTGTGACTATAAGTGTTATAAACATGAAAGTTGTGACTATAAAAGCGTATTTTACCTTATTATTTCTTGTATACGCCAGCTGCCATGCTCCATTCCTAGCTTGCAGTCCTGCTCACTATCTTTCGGTTAGTTTGATGAGTCCACTAGGTACACATATATGGGGAGTGAGTGCGACATGATCCCCCACCGTGACCATGCACACCTTTTTCTTAATTTTCCTCCACATATCATTATTGTCAGAAACTTGACAGGAAAAAATTATAATGAAATGTGTCATTAATCACTTGTTATTTGCCTCACTACTAATTATTGGTACGAGTCACACAAATTAACTCATGAATTCCTTCAATTAAAATTGGAAAGCATCAAACTTTCAGATTTCTGTATTTTATTTTGTCTGTATGAGAAGAAAAACGGAAAGAATATGAAGAAAGTTGGGACGAAATCAGGCGGCCGTCATTTTTTTAAGTAATTAATTAAGTAATAGTATAAAGGTCTACAGAAAATTAGTGGGCATTCTAGATATAATTTGTGCTCCCACTCCCTTAGCGACAGCAAAGCCAAGTCTAGTGAAATATATGCGGCCGCCCGAGATCCCGCATCCGGATACACGGAGAATTTCTGGATGCGCTTGAGCAAAACCACAGTAAGCCCAAAATATTCAAAAAAGTTCATTTGTGTGTTCTAAAACTATTCAATATGAAACTGGGTTGTATTGACGGAGGAAGGGAAGAAGTAAGGTCTCAAACGAAGTAGAGGAATCGAAGAGGAAGGGAGGATTTGCAAAGGAGAGACCGGGAGGTAGAAAGCGATAGGTGTTCTTCTGGAAGCCGATGACACCTATTTATAATAGAGCAAAGAGAATGCAACTGGCAGTTACCACACGGGGAATCGTAAGCGTCATAAGAGTTTTTCAAAATTCAAAATCAAAAAGTAATCGACTAAACGAGCGAACAGGAAAAGGCCACGTGGACGACAACTAGATGACGATTGGAAATTCAAGGCGGTGACACCTACTACGCACGCGCACCCCCTAGGGGGCAGGACATACCCGCGAAATGGGAAAAATCACACAAAGAAAATCAAGCGCGGCCGAATGAGCACGGCCCGCCCGTTACCAGCGGAATGAGTCTACGGAAAACAAAAAAAATACACGAGTATGAAGAGGAAAAGAGCATAGCGCTTGCCTACGCGCACATGACAAGCAAAAAACGCACAAAGAAAACCATGCGGAGAAGAATGAGCGATGCCCACCCGTTACTAGCGGAATGAGTCTGTTGAAAACAAAAAATATACACGAGTATAAAGAGGAAAAGAGCATAGCGCCCCTGCCTAAGCGCACATGACAAAGCCAAGACAGTCACCACGGACGTCGGGAAGAGGCCTTTTCCTGAGCCATCACAGACGCACAAGCACACCAGGGGGGGTACTCGGGGAATACCCTCTGCTGAGGGGCAATTTTGGGGGGCATGGCTCGGGTCCATCCCCTCCAACAAGCGCACACTCACCATCCTAAGAAAGATAAGATGATGCTAAGGGAAAGAGCGACCCAAACACTCATACTCATGAAAAATATTATTCTGCGAGTACTCAGAGAAGGTGCGCCAGAGAGCGGCGTGACACGCAGAGCATCATCTTTCCCAGACGGACAGGGCAGGCCGCGCCGCTCACCAAGAGAGGCGACTTCCACGCAACAACACTGCCCGCGCATAATAAGTTGAGACTACACCGTGTTACTAACAAAGCTGCCACGTCTTACTTGTAGACCTCATCATATCCTAGCCTTCTGTCTCTTCCAAATGTCATGTCAGCTCGAAAACCCACCCACCGGAAGGTAGCCTATAAATAGGGCATTTACCAGGTGGGCGAGGGAATCAATTTCCAAATTCTCTCCCTAGAAAGCAAGAAACTTCTCCCTCTAGAATTGGTCCCAAGCTCTCTCTCTAGCTTTCTCACTTGTAATCTCAGAAAAGGTTAAGGATAAAAGCGGAAGCTTTTCCACTTTCACTCGCACCCCATTCTTTTCGTGTCTCACTCCTACACTCAGTTAAACACAAACACATCTAATTTTAAAAATACATAGAGGTACTTAGAACGAACGGAAGTAATTACCTACTGATCGCTGGTGTTCAAGGGATAATAAGAGGTTCCAAAAATGATTAAAAAAAAAATTCTTAAAGGTAAGCAACTTAAGACAGTTAGTTAGGAACCAAAAAAAGGATTAGGCGGGGAGGGAGAGGGAGAGGGAGAGGGAGAGGGAGAGGGAGAGGAGGCGCTCTGAACAATGAACGGACAAGTCTCTCCACACCACCACTCTACTTACTACCAAGTCGCACCAGTAGTTGTAGGGCTAATGTATGCCTAATAAGTAATAAGTAATAATGCTTCTCTGCATGGTTGTCATGCCAATTTTATGATCGGTATGAATACTACCGGTATGACATCTATTTACGAATTTTAATTAGATTATATTATTTTAGTAAATATAATTAATAAAAAATAAATTAATTAGATATTTTATGAATATAAAAATTAAAAATTGATGTAATTTTTTGGTTTTAAGTATAACCATTTAAGTATCGACATTAATTTTTATATTTAAATATAAAAATTTGTTATTTTGTTTGAACTACTATATTTTATTAATCCGGTATTAACCGCGACAAACCGGTTAACCGAGGCAACTGTATAGACTACTTGAGTCAACTTGTCCCCCAATCCGCCAAAACAAACCAAACCACGAAAAAAATATTGTTATTATATAATTAATTTGAAGGCAGAGCAGAGCCAGAAGCAAGCAAGAGATATTTTTTTCCAATGAGGAAGAGAGAGAAAGAGAGTTTATGTATGTAAATCAGTGCTAGTGAGATGTGACGCGTGTCCGTTCGCCAGCTGTATCCCAACCCCAACCGCTTCCCACTTCCCTCGAACCATCCTTCCTTTTACCGGCTCTCCCGGTCGCCTCCTTCCCCCCCTTTATATACCTCGCTCCTCTCTCTCTCTCCCTCACATATATAAAAGATATATTCACTTCCTTCTCCATCTCCAAACAAAACAAAACTCTCTCTCTCTCTCCCTCTCCCTCCCTCCTTTCTATAATTTTCTCTACCTGCAATCGGACAATCTCAACCGCCGGCCAAAACCTCCATTCCTCCATTCCTTTTTATGTTAGTCTGAGATAGATCAGCGAAATGGCAGTCACCGGAAAAGATATAGATCGGATCAAAGGTCCCTGGAGCCCCGAGGAAGACGACAAGCTCCACCGCCTCGTCGACAAGCACGGCCCGCGGAACTGGTCGCTGATCAGCAAGTCCATCCCCGGCCGTTCCGGAAAATCCTGCCGCCTCCGGTGGTGCAACCAGCTCTCCCCCCAGGTCGAGCACCGCGCCTTCACCGCCGAGGAGGACGAGGCGATTGTCCGAGCCCACGCACGGTTCGGGAACAAGTGGGCGACGATCGCGCGACTCCTCCAGGGCCGCACCGACAACGCCATCAAGAACCACTGGAACTCCACGCTCAAGCGCAAGTGCTCCTCCTCCTCCTCTTCCTCGTCCGACGGCGACGGCGGCGGGGAAGGGTACGATGGTAATTTGGCGGATTGCTGCCAGCCGCTGAAGAGGTCGATGAGTGCGGGATCCGGTGTGCGCGTCTCCACGGGGCTTGCCATGAACCCTGGGAGTCCATCTGGATCTGACGTCAGCGACTATTCCAGCGTGCCAGCTCCTCCTCCTGCTGTTTTAGTATCCGCCGTTGCTGCCCCACACGTCTTCAGACCCGTGCCAAGAAGCGGCGGCGTGGTCTCACCGGCCGACGCTACGGCGACCGCAATGACGACACCGTCGTCTAACGGCAGAAACGGAGGCCCTCCCACTTCCTTGTGTCTATCCCTCCCAGGGGCCGAATCTCCGTCAGAGGTCTCGGCTCCTCGAGTCCCCGAACCAACTCACAGTCATCATCACACCTATTCTGCTGCCAATACCATAAACCTTTTACCGCCTGCGAGCCCTCCGGCACCTGTGAGTAGTCAAGTGGAGTCTTTGGGGTTCAGCCCGGAGTTCATGGCGGTGATGCAAGAGATGATAAAGAGGGAGGTGAGAACATATATGATGGAGCAGAGGCAGATGGGCGGCAGCGGTGGAGGGATGTGTTTTCAGGCGGCGGCAGGGAGTGGGTTTAGGAATGTTGCAGCGGTGATGAATAGGGTTGGGGTTGGGAAATTTGAGTAGAGTGTAAATTGGTTAGGCAAGAAGAAACCAAAAACTGGACGTAGTTGGTGGGGAAGATGAGTCTGGGAGGGGACGTAGTTGGTTGGTTGTTGTTGTTTTGTTGCTTGGGGGAGTAGGGGAATAATTTTGAAGGCGCCATTGTACAGAGGAAAAATGGAAGAGGTAAAACAAGCAAGTCGGGGAATAGTTGCAGGAGAACGAATATAAGAACAAATATGAATGTAAGGTTAAGTTAAAAGTTGGGCATAGAAATGCAGCAGTCTCTGGCTCTGCTGTGGATGGGTGGCAAAGTTCCCACCCAATTCAATTCAATGATGACGAAAAGACATGTCTTGTGAGATTCAGTTGGGAAGGAAGAATGAAAGAAAAATCCAAACTGAAATCTCATACACTACACTACTATTAGTCTTGTTCGCCCATTATTACTCTTTATGATATGAACACATCCGAAATTGCAAACCCAGGCAACATAGATATTATTACTGTCAAAACATTCGTAAGCAAGCAAGCAAGTGAGGAGAAGGCGGTTTGGCAGAGTTGGGCTACTACTAAACTAATGAACAAATATGAAGAGCAGGTTGGTAAAGAGGAACACGATTTCCATGTGGTGGTGGGGGGACCCACACCGCACCAAAGCAATAGGCGAATTAACAGTTTGACAGTTAGAGCGTCTCCATCAATGCAATTGCAAAAAAAATTGCATTTATGTTTTTTATTGTTAACTCAATTTTTTTGCAATCCACATCACATTCATTTCAATCACCTACATCAATGCAATTAACTTGTAATTGCAAATGTAATTAAATATTATATTTAAATTATAGAAAATTAAGTAAAAAGAGAAAAGAAAACAATATAAAATAAAAAGTCCCCTTTTTTTAGGCTTTTTTGACTTGCATATGCAATTGCATTTGTTGCAAGTTTGCATATATGCAATTGGTAGCTACATCAATGCAATTGATTTTGCAATTGCAAACACCTATGCCATGTCATTTTGCAATTGAGAATGCAATACCAATGTGGATGCTCTTACACAAAACACACGCTTCTTTCTTTCTCCTTACAATTTCTGTTACGCCATCAATCTGTAATGGAGCCAAAACCCAAATTTTGATCTGATCTGCCAACTATACATACGTCCTTCTTATCGCTAAGGGAGGGGAGACCACAAAAGTCAAAGATAACCCCACCACCACCAAGTGGCAACTCGGAAAACCAAAGCAACTCTTTAGTTTACAGTTTATTTAAGAATAATAATTATTATATATAGCTATCCAAACAACAACTAAAGACGTTTGTGCAGCAAAGCATAATCTTTGCAAGAAACCCACCCTTTTCTCATGCGCATTTATAATTAGATTGGGAAAGAAAAAATAAAAGATGAAATTGATGGCAGAGGAAAAGACCGAAAGAGAGAGAGAGAGAGTGAGAGAGAGAGACTTCAACTACAAGAGAGGTTCAGCTTTGGTTATCATATTGCCGGAGTTTGTAGCGGTGTTGTGGTCTAACCTGGCGACATTCTTCAGACGGCAACTCAGCTGCTGCATGCCTTCCTTCCACGACCATTTCGGGTCGTTTAGAGCGCGGACCGAGTTTAGGCATACCAGGAGGGTGCCACCTTCGTGTAAAAGAACCTGCATTTCATTCAACAACCAGATCAACCACAAACTTCATCCACCTACCATTGACTTCTTGCAACAGCAGGAGACATTCTGGATATTGTTGGACAATGATATTGTATCATCTCAAACCCACTAAATTCTGTGAGAAATGGCCAGCTAGCAAAGGTTCTGGCTAACCAAACCAGTTAACTAGGCACAAGTCATCCTCAATAGATCATTTAGGACATGACTGGACAATTCAATTTCAGCAGAAAGGATGGTTAACTGGTTCCATTAACTGTGACCGAACTAGATTCCCCATTCGTTTGACTCACTTCCACGATTATTACTGAACAAACAATCTCAAAGTGAAGAGAAGAAAAGGAAGAAGATAGCTTGTGAAGAATAGTTATGTACCGTCAACCAAAGTGGAAGAAATCCCAACACAGAGGGAAGGGAAGCCAGAATTATGGAAGTCAAAGCCAGCGCCACATTTTGCTTGACCTGTGTACGCGCAAGTGTTTGTTAGAAAAGAGAATGAAGAACCAAGATAGGATAAAGTATTATCCAATAATTGGGCAAGATGCAGAAGTTATTTAATGGTACCAGGGAACTTGTTTGGCGGGACTTTGCAATACAGAAAGGAACGGCTGATATATTGTCCCGTAACAATAGAACATCTGCAACAGCTATGGCAGTTGCACTAGCGCGCTGGGCTAGCACAATTCCAACAGTTGCTGCGGCGAGTGCTGGCGCATCATTGATGCCTTCACCCACCATGATTAGGCCACCACCTGCCACAAAACCCCAACCATGTTGGTTTCAGATACTGAACACAGCAGATGAGCTCAGACCGCTATGTTAACCAGTTCTTTCCAGGACATTACCCATATCCCTTGAGATAGTCTTTACGTGATTGAGCTTATCCTCTGGTTTCAAGCTACAGTGAAATTGACCAATGCCCACAGCTTGTGCAACTCTCCGTGCACTTGATTCATGGTCACCTGTTAGCATCATTACCTGGAGCTTTGCTTTATCCTGTAGTTCTGATATCACATCGGAAACCCCTTCTCGAGGTCTATCCTCAAGATGAATCAATGTTATCTGCACAAGTTTACATAAACCAAGTTGGAGTTTGAGTGCCAACTTCCTTCCATTTCTGCAAATAATAACATTGGGAGAGTGATGGAAATTGATTTTCAGAAATTGCCTCGTCCATAATACATGTCAATTCAAGTTCTTGGGTCCTGAAGTTCAATATGGAACAAGCAGCAAAAAAGAGAGCACTCATGAATGCATACTCACCTTTTCATCCACGGAAAGAGCTGCATGGACAAAGTCATTCCCGTAAGAAGATGCACTGACAGCTTCCTTAATTTTTTTCGACTTGTCCTCGGATTTACAAAGAGAAGTAATGAACTCAACGGAGCCAAGAGAAGCTTTCAATGATCTAGCTCTTCCACTTCCTGACTATACACAAATAGTGGCTATAAGTTTCCTCAGGAAGTCGCCCATCCATAGTGCTAAAATATAAAACTACTTCATTGTGTAAGGACAGAGATATTTAGAAAACTCATTCGCAAATGGTGAACTGAAGTTTGCCAAGCAAAATACCTGAGTGTCATTCAGAGTAGCAACAAGTCCTTTGCCAGGAAAATACTCGAACTTTTCAACAGAGACAGAAGGGAGGTCTTTGCCAATGCTATGATCTACAACAGCTCTACAGAAAGAAAGTGTCCAAACTTTAGAATGAACTCATATCTGGTATGCCATTTTCAAAGCGACAACATCTGATTTCTAATCTGAGTTGCTGGAAACATATAACCAAACCAAGCAAAAGGCTTGCATTCAAGTCCAGCACAGATACATGCTGTTACACAAATTATGTATTCGAAGTTGTACTTGCCACCTTATATAACAAAAAAATTCGATAACTTTCTCATCTTTCCACCTACGGATGCTGATTTCCAGCTGTCAAGTTGCTCACTAAATTGCAAGGCTACTCTCAGCATTACTAATGACCCAAAACATCATGGGAAATGGTAGAAAGGAGTGACGTATCCAAGAAATGAAATTACCTCCCAATAGGATGTGTCGTGCCCTTCTCCATAGCGGCTGCAACAGCAAGAGCTTCTTTTTCACAACTGGGTATGCAACAAGAAGCATGAGTTGTCATATTTTTTCCTACTTGATGTCCAAGAATTGGCTCAATTGCTTTGAACATAAGACCTCCTGTAGTAAGCGTCCCAGTTTTGTCAAATGCAATCGTGTGGCAAGAAGCTAGAGCATCCAGAACCTGCCCTCCTTTAAGTAATATTCCCTGTGTGCAAAGAGAATATAACCGTTAATAACATTTCATTCAGAGAAAATTCAGTGATCAATTCGATTAATTCCAAATAAATGTTGACACTTTTGATACCTCAAATAAACGTTTTAGAAAGCTATTGAACTATTCCGTTCAAACTCATCTATCACATCATCAACACAGAAATATGAAAGAGACTACTATCTGGTACCCATAGGTCTCTGCAGTGACACTATTAGTAACTTTCACGTGGAATTTTACGAGTAATAGTAAACATGCTATAGAAAAAGAAAGGCGATACACATCTACAAATTCCAAAGAAGTGGATCTTTATCAACACCACTAGGCACCTTTTTTGCACAGGAACTAATAGCAGTGGCGTATGCCAATGGAGCCACTGCCAAGGCACATGGTGATGCAGCCATCATTAATCCTAGTGCTCTGTAGATTGATCCTCTGCAGACTGCATGGGAAAGCGTGAAGAGTTATAATACTAATTAGAAGTTCCGGCAGAATACATTCAGATTAGGAACAGAAACGAAGCCATGGCCAGATAACCAGGGGACTACTGGTAAATTAGGAAATTTTGGGGTTCAGGATGATTATCTAGTTTATTCTCCTTGTTAGAAGACATGATAAGAGTTGAATGTTATCCTTGTTACCTGAAGTACTCATGAATGGCCACTTGAAAAGTAATGGTCCAAGGAAAGCAACAGCGAACGACAACCCTACTACAACCTTGCTGTACTGCTCACCGAACTCATCGAGCCATCGTTGAAGTTTTGGTTTGTTTTGCTGGGCCTCTTCAGTCAGTTGCACAATTCTATTTAGTGTTGACTCTTTCCATGTCTTCGTTGCCTGATTCGTTCAATAATGGCATCCAGGAGATGATTCAATACAGGGTGTGCAGCACCGCAAGCAAGAGAAATGGAACATAAAAAGGAAGTTAACTATAGTCAGTAACTTCAGATGACCATGATACTAAACGACCATGACATGCATGTTGATATCCAATGAGATGACATCTTCTCGAACTATTTCATATTTAAGTTGCGATTACAATACCTTGACAATAATTCTACCATCCAAGTTTCTCGCACCACCCGGAATCCCATCACCCACATTTGCTTCAATCGGTTTTGCTTCCCCAGTCAAATGCTCAATAGTAATTGTTGCACTACCTTGGAAAATCTGGCAATCCACGGGCACAGCCTACAGAAAATAAAATATTATTACAAATGTTGTAAGGGGTGCTGAACAACAATCTATTGCCATGGTTGAGATGTGCAGAAAAATATCAGATATAATTTCTCGACGATTCAGCTTGATCAATCACCCCATGAAGTAATCACCCAGAGAAGAATAAGTAGAGCGCCTTACTTGCCAATGTTATTGCCAAGCTATATCATTCCAGAATCAAAATACCATTAAACAAGAACGATACCTAATCAAGAGATACATAAGCACAATCATCTCATAAAAATAAAATCTATGAACCAGGTCCAATCTGATCATGAAACAGTCAAGTGACAGGCAACTAAAATGTATGTATCCCAAAAATAACCTAAATTTCCTATTTCTATTGCAAGCGGAGTGCAACGGTATAAATGGCAGCCCTACAAATTTCACAATTGAACAGATTTATTCCTGAAACACATGTTTAGCTTCTCTTTCGACATGGCTACTGTTGACTTCCATTCTTGCATTTCAATTCAACATAGGCCACCTTGTCTGCAACCGAACTTTGAGAAAGATGAACAACAAAACAGACTAAGAGGTACTACATCAGAGGATAGTTTGCTCTGGGGTCACCACAGTCTAGTCTTGTGCATAAAGCGTTTCCAGATTCTACTGATACTGTGATTAGAATAATGCTAATGCATCCTTGAAGCAAAAGGAAACCAGTTCCATGTTACAGACCTCACCAGCTCCAACTAGAACATAGGAGCCCACTTCTATATCATGCACCGGCACACTTGAGTAGGACAAATGCGCGAGGTCGGGTAGTTTCCCCTCTTCAACATCTAGCACGAGAGCCGAATCTGGATGGTTCTCTTTCAACTCTCTAACATCTACGAGCGATCGACTGGTGAAGAACTCTTCGGCTACAAAGCAAAACCCCACGATTCAGTATTTGCAGCATTCAGAAGATGCTCTAGTAGCTGCAACAAGCAAAGACAGTTTCTATGCGTTTACCAATGTGAGCCAGATTGAACATGGCAAGAAGTAAGCCTCCTTCCAAGGCGTTCCCCATAAAAACAGAGGCAAATGCTGCCAGAGCCATCAGGACATGAATGTTCACCTTCCCGCCAGCAATGTCAATGAGAGCATCCAGGGATGCCGAGACCTGACGCACACATTTTCATCTTCAGTTCCAGTTGCCAGCGAAAAAAAAATTTAAGTTCAATATGCAAACGGTGAAATCGGAAATCGCGCGCACAAAATAACAAATCACGGAAGCGGTAACAGCGAGAGTGATGAGCCATACCCCAACCAGAGGGAAACCGACGATCATGAAGGCGTTTTGAAGAGGCTTAGCCACGGCCTTGGGAGCAAGGTAAGGACAAATAGCAGCGGCGAGAAACAAAGCCGCGGAACAGCAACAGAGCTGCAAGTGCTCCCTCAGCAGACTGGCGAGATCCGTCCATCTCACGGCATCCGCAAACCTAATTACAGCTTTCTGCGTGCCGGTTAGCTCCTCGAGCTCGTCTCCGTGATGGTGATGATGGTGGCCGTGGCCGTGGCCGTGATTATGGTGGTGGTCGTCGTGATGATTATGGTGGGGATCTTCGTGGTGATTATGGTGGGTGTGGCGATTGGCTGCCTCAGAAGCGCAACGGGCGACGAACCGGCGGTGGATATTGGGGGAAACGAGACGGTTGCGGAGTGGAAGAGAAGGCAGCGAGTGGAGCCGGCGTTTCCTGGAGGAGGGACGGATTGAAGGGAAGTCGATCACGCCAAAAGCGTAGCGGACGGCGGTGGAGGCTTCCATGGACTATGCAGGGAAACGAGGGAGTTCAGGTGAAATTCCGGGGAGAAATCATGACGGTGGAGGAAGAAACGGATGAAAGGTCTGCGAGTTACAGAGGAAGGAAACAAGGGTTGGTTGGTGGGACTGTGAGAGAGAGTCGGAGGACTTTCTGCGGCCTAGAGAAGTGAGTGGCGAGCATTGGCCTCTGGCTGCCCGCTTCCAGTTCTTTTATTTATTTATTTATTTACTTCTTCGTTTTGTCGGCATTCTTCGCTTTCGTAGTTACTTGGGGTTTTCGGTTCTCGACCGGTTCTTCTCCGATGACTTCTGTAGTCTGTAGGCATGTCTGGAACCGCCCCTTATTTCGTCAATTCATGATTTCATTCTATTAAGTTCTAACTAGCGTGGACCCGGCCATTTGCCTGGAGGAAGGTTTGGAATGAAATTTGATAATGTAATGGTGTGTATAACTTATTGTTGTATAGTTTTTTTTGGGAAAAACGTAATAAAAAAAGTGAATTTTAGTAGGAAAGAGACATGAATGATGCAACGAATCAAAAATCAGCCTTATGAACCAAAATCAAGTACCTGTTAACGTGTGAAACAATATTGTTTCTGGTAATATGATGAGGTGGAGTAAGTTTTATAGAAACCGAATTCCAGAAAATCGAATAAAAAATCGCCTATCCCGCAGGTTTTCGGGAAATGAGCATCTCACAATCGTTGCTAGCTTTTACTCGGCCCGTTGGTCGATTAATTTGCTTTATAAACCTTTCATCTTGTCATCATTGTGCTTTCTAGTTTTTTGCCAAGCCATGATAAAATCTAAAGAAATCAAGAATGAACAACACGATTTGGGATAGGAACCACCGTTCCTGTATCCCTAGAAAATGGTGGTAAACACGGACTCACCTGCCAAACTGGTTTGGATTGAGATTTTTATCGGGTATCAGGGAACCATGTGATTATAAATTAGACTTGATCAAAACGGGCCAAAACTTGAAATTCAGCATGTTTGACCGACCCATGCCAAACTCTAATTATTCTTTACTTTTAAACTTTCTATTTGAAAATAAAAAAATAATGAAAGAAAAGAGATGACTCCAATTCGCCATTTGGACATCACTGATTCCGGAATAAAACTATAGAATTTCGAAAGAAAACTGAAAATTTTTAGGATCGTTTTAATGTTAAAAATAACCAAATAGATCTTTCTGTACAGATACCAAACGATTCCCTATAATATACACTATAATTTAATCATTATGATATCAAATAATTACATAATATATATTTGAAATGATAAAAATTAGACTAATTGGGCTGGTCGAGGTTGAACCATTGAATAACTTTAAAATACATTATATTTTAGCCACTAAGATATAAAATAATAGCATAATATATATTATGCTAGAGAAAATAGCTTGTTTTAGAATGGCAAACCCATGATGTTCATTTGTTTTACTTGATGGGCAAATCCCGTGTAGGTCAGGCCCATTCAACTCATTTATTTTATTATTAGCGGTTAGCCCATTAGAATCCATACATTATGTCGCAACCGCCCTCGAAAAATCGGGGAAAGCTCGCGAATCTGTTTGGAGTCGCCATCGACCGTGCCTTGGGGTGGGTCGAACACCAATTTCCGGTTTGTTACTTAGGTTAAAACCAGAATTCTGGTCTGCGAATTTTAGATTTTTGGGTTCGGGAGTACGGTTACGCGTGGGGAAGTGTATTCACACCCCACAACGCCCAAAATTGGTACTACTTAAATCGATAAGTTTAAAGGTTGGGTGTATTATTATTTGCGGCTTTATTGTGTGATAAATCATAAGATTCAATTGATTAGGTATTTATTAATATACAGTTTGATCATACGTTTATTAACATAATTCTCAAAATTAAAGAAAGAGTTTTAAGTTGGTTGGACTCGAACCTATCGGTTGCCTACGTACCCGGGTTAACCGGGATCAAAGTCCACGTAGTTCGAATAAAACTTTAAATGTTTTAACAAGTAATTTTAACCACGTTCTACCGATCGTGGTTCTCGACTTTGATGCGTTTTGGGTAAAAATTTTATCGCTTTCCTCTGAAAGTAAAATCCGTATTATACTTTTTGTTAATGAAGTTTAAATTTATATTTGTGCAAAGATTTTAGCATTTGAGAGGTAATTCGATGTATTGGACAAGATACGAGATAAACTTAATCAGCATCTTAACATTTCGTATTTAGGATTTTAAATAAATAAAATTATACGAGATGATAATATTAATGCATTATGGGCAAGCAGCCCAACTGGCTAAGTTGTCAGACCTTGTCCGTGTTCGACCCCGAGAACGGCGGTTCGAAACCCGGTAACCATGATTTTTTTATCTCGTTTTAGTGCAGAGAAGGGGGAAGGGCAGTTTGGTAAATGCTCAAAAGAGCGGTGGCAGGGGCGCGTAGTAACTAGGAAACCCTAGGGTTAAATCGGTCTTTATCGGGTGGGTATAAATCCATCTTTTTGGACGAAAAAACAAACCCTAATCCATTCTACCCTAAACGGCCGCCTCCACTCCCCTCTCTCTCTCTGCCTCTCGGCTCTTCTTCTCTCTTCTCCCTCAGAGAAAAAACGGAACCCTAATCAAAACCTAACTCTCTCCCACTCTCCTCTCTCACTCGCCTGCCTATCGCCCCTCTCGTCCTAGACCAAACGAAACCCTATCCCCACTAAGCGCCGCTCTCTCTTCTCCCATGGCAAAACCGAAATGCAGAAAGAAAAACCAGACGAACCAAATCTCAAATCGCTCTTCCCTCTGTTTCTCCCTTCCAATCCTATCTCCGACTTGCTCTCTTTCTCGTCTCACCCAAAACACCATCTCTCCTCCTCTTTATCGAGACGAGTAGAGGGCCCGACGACAGGCAGATCGACGGCTACTGTAACCAGGTGGTCGCCGGCGAGGACAACGACGAAAGTAAGCTCTCTTTAATAGATTGCATGTTGATTTTAAGGTTCGATTTTAGTCTTTAGGATTCTCATCTGTCTTTTTGTTGCAGGTTTCGAACTAGGAGATTGGGTGGAGATGGGAGAGGAGCAAAACAAATTAAACGAAAGAGGGTCACTATCGACGAACACTGGCGCGGCGGATAGGTGAGGTTTTGTTTATGTCTTAGGTTGGATTTTTTATTATGTATCTCTTTTGGTTAAGACTCTGATGAATCTTGTTTTTTTTTTTTGGGTTATGGACCAGGGAAGGAGAAGGCCGCCGCCGACAGTCCTGGTTTTACCGGCACTGAGGACAACGAGGATGCCTCCTAATTTCGGTTGTCGCGGGTCGGAGGGGAACTCGCCGGCGACAGACGCAACAAGGTAGGTTTTTTGGTAAGCTTTTGGATCCGGTGGAAACTGGAATCTATAAGGTGGGTTTTGATTTTCGGTTTTGTCCTTTTCTTTTGCTTCGAACGAGTCTATCACTAACCCATTCTGTTTCTTGTAGGTTTGGGAATCAGAATTGAGATGAACAACTAACTTGCTAAAAATTCAATGTTAGTATTTTTGAATTGCACGCATAGTTGTACTTCGGTTTGATCAATATTGATTTATCGGTTTGGATGTTTCGATGATCTAGGGTAAAATGTTTTAAAGTCTCAAAAGGTTGATTTGGTTAAAGTTTCCTGAATTGGTTAAAACGAAGAAAATGGAAAGTGGGTAAATTAACATTTTTATCGACTGTAAACACTTTTATTGCTTGATTAGGGAATCTCAATATTGTGTTTTCATGGTGTGTCTGATCTGGCAGTTCAAGGTTGTATTAATAGTAGGCTGTGGTAAAATGATGATCTTAGTTAAAAGACAGACTCTATATAGCTAAAGAACTCAGTTAGCTTATGGAGTTCATGTTAATAAATACTAGCTGTAAATAGCTTATAGGAAAAAGCAGAGTAGATGGGTAGAAAGATTAAAAGGAACAAATCTAAACACACGAAAATGATAACTGGGGTAGGTATGGCTGGTTTACGATAATTGGGGTTTGATACTAGCCTTGATTGTTTGTGGTGGTTCAAACCATATGGTTTTTGTTGTGTTTAGGGTGTTAGCTTAGTTGTATATGTGGTGGAATGCCAAGTAAAACGAATACAACGAAACATATAAACGAAGCATGTATCTTCTTACCTTTAATATGCTTACCCAATGAAAATATTAAAATGACAAGAAGAGACAGATATAGACAAGAAGTAGCAAACCTTAAAAGGAAAGCAATAAATCTGATTCCGTTGCTTGCTTGGTATTATTGTCATCTTTTATTTTGATCGGGGTTAATTTGAGTTGTATTACTTTAGAGTTCTAGGTCAGCTTGTATTTGTATGGAATGATTAAGTTTACTTGAGTTTATAGAAAGAACTTAGCATAATATGGATCATGGATGATGGTTTATGATTAAGTGGCTACCAACCTTTTCCTTTTGGTTGAGTGATGATTCTACCTCTCCTAGCTTCTCGGAGCTTGCTGCCTCCTTATCTGCTTCCTTCTATTGTTCTTGTTTTTGTGATGTTGTGGTGTGCTTGTAAGCAAGAAGGTAGTATGTATTGAAGAAGTAGAGTTTTTGCTGCCAAGCTGATCTGGCAGCCTAGGTTTTTTGCTCCTTTGGGGTTTCCTTTAACTTCTGTATGTGTGGGTTTTGAGTATCGAAGAAAAGAAGTGAGGGAGATATTTGCAGAATTTTTGTGTATCTAACTATTGTTGTGTTTAAGGAGAGGGAAGTGCAGGGGAGAAGAAGAAAAGGAAGTGGATCCTCGTGGGTGAGAAGAAGAGGATCAATCTGGTTTCCCTCTTGGTGGAGAAGGGAAGGAGAAGAAGAAATGATACAAGCACGTTTAGAGGAGGGAAGGAAGTATCAGGAAGAAGTCTTTGTTTTGAGGGAGCATAGGAATCTGGAAGAGGAAGAAGAAGAATTTCCCCTGTCTCTCCCCATCTCTGTTTTTTTTGGCAGAAATTCATCTGTGTAAAGAAGAAGAGAGGAAGAAGGAGCTCTCCTTTCCTCTGTTTTTTTCTCGTTTGGATGAAGTAGGAGAGGCGATGTTGTGGAAGGACAAGGGAAATGGGTAGGCCTCCTTTCGTTGTTTTTTCTTTCTCCTATCTGCCTGGTGTGTATGAAACACGAAGAGGAAGGCAGAAGAAGCTCCCCTCTTGTTTTCTGTTCTATGGGTCCTTTTTATAGGAAAAGTC